AAGCAGGTGTTTTTCTTTTATAAAATGTCAATGAACAATGGATTTCCAATTATAGCGTAGCAAGTTGCAGAGTCGACTTTTGCCTCAAAATAATAACATTTCCTTTCCTATGACTAAAATTGGTCATACAATGTTGTGTTTGTTGTGATTAATAAATGCGTCTGTATTTTCTAGTTTTTTAAAACCAAAAAAGCATAAAATTTTTAAATAGAAATTAAACTATGTTAATTAACGGTTAATCAATGAAAGTTGTAAAAAATTTGTTAAATAAAGTTATCAGTGCTAAAGTTTCATAGTATTTAACAAAAGTTTAAATTATTTTAAAAGATTTTATACCTTGAACTTGACTTTTATAACAGACGCCATTTGATTTGTTTTACGTTTTTTGTGCTTCTTCTTGTTTTCGAATATTTTTACATAAACCTGTCTTAAAGCTGTTGCTGGTTTTTTAGACGGAAAATGTTTTTCAGGTCTTATAATATTACAATAAAAGCAAACAGCTATAACAAGTGCAGTCAGCATGTTGTAGCATTTAACCACCAAGTGGTTATAATCATAATCACAATCTTCATCATTACACCATCCATCCATAGAGACATGCCATGGAAAAATGTGTACAATTTGAAAACTAGTTTTTCCAAACTACTTGTTGGAAATACCACAAAATTGTACTGTTTTTTGTTGGAGTTCATAATTTGTAATATTATTTTGTTGTAAGAGTAGACTTCTATTTATTTTACCATTTTAGGTTCTAAATGTCAGGTTTAGTTTAATCAATGATTTCCCACCAATTTGTTATTGAGTGGATCAAGCCTTAATGAACTTTTGGCATTACAAATAGAGAAGTTTAACATAAGGTAAGTTCATATCTATCAAATATTTGATGAAAATTACGCAAACGTAATCTATCGTTAAAGTTATGTCATGAGAACGTCATTATTATTTGCTTTGACATTTTGTACAACTAGAAAAATCATGTTAGATCAATAAAACATTTAGATAAAACAGTGTTTTAGTCCTTTCCGTCAAATATTTGATAAGTGGGAACGTACCTTTAATCAGTATTTAAAGTTATTTATCATTTCTATTACACAAAACTTAATTTTATAATTTTTGTCACTTATGTTGTAGTGTTAACGTTATTTCAATTATTTATTAGATAATGATATAGTTAGTCGGTGGTTTTCAGTTAACATTAATTTATTTTCTTAATTAAGCAACCGTTAACTTTTAATTGCAACTTATAACTGTCGTATATAATTATAGATCTAATAACGTTAAATAGATTTTGAACATAATGTATCTCAGCCAATTGGAAACATTTCTGAAATAAGCTTAAACTAATCAGTTTGTATATCAATTGTATTTGAAATATATAATGAATTCAAATTCAATTAATTCAATCCAATTTTCCGAATCGGATTCAAATCAGAATTTCTTTATCACATCAGGTTTTTTCAGATATTTTGGAGATGTTTTAATTGCTCGAAGACACTTTTATTTATAAAGTTTGTTAGATCATCTGAAGGTGCAATCTGTCAACTAGACCTCTTTATAAATATAGGCGTCTTCGTGTTGTTGTAACGTCCCCAATACTACCAAAAACTTGTAAAAGTATACTTTGGTCTTTGGGTTAAAAATTTGTTGATCTATGTTATGGATCAATTAAGAAGGTTCCCAAAACTTAATAAGTTTCCCAAAACTTGGAAAAGTATACTTTGGTCTCTGGGTTAAAAATTTGTTGACCTATGTTATGGATCAATTGGTAGTACCCATATGTTCACATAAATGTCAAATTTCCTCGTGCAAAATTTGAGTATTCTAGTCCTAATAGTTTCTCAGATATACACATTATTATATTTAATTCATATGGGAGGTGCCATACCCCTATTGCTAGTCCGCCAATTTAGTACCCAAATGTTCACATCGATGTCAAAGTTGTTTGTGTCAAATTTGAAGATTTTAGCTCTAACAATTTCTCGTTATACGAATTTTTGTGTTTAATTTATATTGGAGGGTCCGAAACCGGCCCCTGAATGTAAAATTTGTAGATTCGATCTCAAATAGTTTCCCAGATAAACGATTTTTTGCTTTAAAGTGATATTGGAGGTATCACTCTCCCTATTGCTAGTCCGCCCAGTTTTGTCCTAAATATTCATTTTGATATTAAAGTGGTTCCGAAGAAATTGGAGGACTCTAGGTGTTATATTTTTTCAGATATACTAATTTAAAAATTCCTTTATATGGGAGGTGCCACGCCCACTATAGCTAGGCCGTCTATTTTCTACCAATTCATATGTATGTCAAGGTCGCCAGCTGTTGCAGTTTCCGATAAATACGACTTTTATTTTGTATGTCGACGTAGCACCTCGCCTACTTGAAATTCCAAAACAAAAGATGGCCTATAGTTCCATCCAGACATACCGAAAGAGCATGTGCGCATTTAAAGAAAATCGGTTCAGTCGTTTATAAGTTCAAACAAACATACATACATTCATACTGACTGAATTTAAATTCAATACTTCGACTGACTTTCCTCAAGTAGGTCTGGATGAACTTCATCATCTATGTTATTACTTACCAGACACCTGTCCGCTTATTTTTTAAATGAACGACGATAAGCTTTAAACCGTTTTTGTATCTTTTATGGTTTAGGAGATATAAGGTTACAGAATTTACCCGTTTTTACCCTTTTTTACCCCCTAAACATTCGAATTTCCAAAAATCCCGTCTTAGTGGATCTATTTGGTGGGAGACCACCCTCCTGTCCAAATTTCAGCTCCTTAGCTTCAACCGTTTAGGCTGTGCGATGATGAATCAGTCAGTCAGTAACGTTAGAATTTTATATATATAGATTAGAACCAAATCGTAATTTGGCTTCGATTGGACTTAAGGTATCATGAGTAATATGATCTATCATTAAATCATGCATCGTATCATTAACAATGGATTTCGACCTAGGTCTAGAACAGACCTTGGTTGATTACTATGCTCAAACTGTCAGGTGAAGACTGCGTTTTGTCATTAGATTCAGTCTATTTTAGTAAAATATCTGAGTTAGTCAATTAGACAGGACCCCGATAATACACTATTTCAAAAGTCATATATTTCTCTTGATAGCTATATGTTTGGGACATTCACAAGGAGGAAATTATTTCCTTATTTTCATTATCATTGCAACCGCCATAAACTTTGTTGAAGGGGAACCTGAGCAGTCTTGAGTGTCCAGTTGTTACTGCCAGTAACCTCAATATAACTCCCATTTTTTCAGGTTATAAGTTGCCTTGTGCATTTCTCATTGACAGAAGGTCAGACTAACTTGGCCCCTCGACCTTTTTAACAAAGAATCCTAAAGGATTTAACGTTATAGATATTCCGTTGTAGAGGTCCCGCTCTGATTAGTTCATATGCCTGTTCATTTTCCTAGTAGTCTTTATGCTCAGGGACCTAAACTAGCCCAGCAGTTCAACATAGAGTCAATGCCTCCGAAAAAGACAGTGATATCCACTAACGTCTAACCACCTGGTTGGCTCTAATTCGTCTTTCGTCACGGATGTACTTTTTGTAAACGAGAGAGGGGACAAACCTAAGCTTTATGTCTGCCCCTTCGTAATCTATGGGGTGACGATTGACTTCCTCGTAGTACAAGCAAATTTTAAAATAGCTAGTCACCTGGACAGTCTTTGGCTAGGGTAACCCTAAGTGGTAGGTTAAATAGGTAGTTCGGGATGTTCGACCGAATTGCTGGGAGGGTACTATCAAATAGAACACCTAGCTTTGACCCATTAGTCTTGCATTGTCCAACCAATAGGAATGTGAGGACGTCGATAGATAGTACCTGAAAGAACCAATTCTTATCTTATAGAGTTTTAAACCTAAGTTTTTACAGACAAAAGTGTTGCCAACTGGGATAAACATAACTTTTCTCTAAAAAAAGTCTATGACGAAATACCTTACTAGGTAATGTATGCGGTAATAAGCTTCTAATAAGAAAGTTTTGACAATATTAGTGAGTCACTTGTCAATATATTTGCGAGCAATTATTGGTACAAACTTTATGTAAATGTTTCATTGGAATAATGAAATATTTCGTAAAGTTTACGCCAAAAAACTTTAAACTATAATTAACACGTTATTTTTTTGTAAACTACATATGACATAAATAAAACTTTATGCATATCGTACTAAATAATAATATAGTTTTTGCCAAAAACTAAAGTTTGATTTTCATAAGTTTTATGCTAAAGTGACTTTTTTTCTAAACAAAACTTTTATGAATTTTGGGAATTTTACATAAATGGTAAAAATGGCGGAGGTGTTGTTGGCTGACGTACAAAACATTGAAAATGTTTTAAAATAACGTATATTGTTGACACATCTAATGAATTTTAAAAATTAAAGAAAAACTAACTGTAAAAATATACGTATGTGTGTATATGGAAAGTGTGAATGTGTCAATGTGTTACTAAGTACACAATCAAACTTTTGTACGTTACCGGGTGCACGTAATTTATTATATTTATATGTATATTTTGTTTAATTTCAATTTCATACGAAAAATATCTAAAATAACATGCAATAGTTAAAATAAATATTTTTTGGTAAATAATATAAACAAAAAAACCCCGCGAAAACATCAGAGTTAAAAGGGGGACTAAGACAAACCGCCTAAACATAACTTTGTGACAAAACAAAATGGTGAGCAGGCGGTCAGTTATGTTGCTGTTAAGTTAAAATCTTCAAATTTAAAATTCCGGAAACGTAAACCCCAGCAAATGTAAATATAATAAAACAATAACAACCAAATACACACAATATTGAATTACATCAAGTGTAACAGTGTCAGGAATCTTAATAATGGAAATTTTAATTGAAATCGAAATTTTGTTTTATAAATATTACGGAATTTCAGTTTTTTATTGTTCATAATAATTTAGTGTTTTATAAATTGCATAATTTTGTTAATTTTAAATTTTATTTCTCTGTTTTTATCTTTACAGCTAACATTTGGCCATGTTCACCATAAGGCTTTAATCATCAAATTTTTTTTTTCAACAAAAAATTTTTTAAAAATTAATTTCCTTTTAATAAAACTAAAAATCCCATAAAATGAGCGCTATAGCCAGTGCGGCGGGTGTTATAGGTGGCGCTGTTACCGCTGCCACCAGTAACAGTTGGTTTGTACCCATGCTAGTGGCGGCCATAGCCTACTTTCAATATGAAGAGATTATGGATCCTGAATCTAAGCCCAATGATACTCCCGGTGATGAGATAAGAGATCATTATGATTTTATTATAATAGGCGCCGGTTCGGCGGGATCAGTGGTGGCGAATCGTTTAACGGAAGTGGAAAATTGGAATGTCTTATTACTGGAGGCGGGTGGAGATGAAACGGAAATTTCGGATGTCCCTCTAATGGCTGGCTATTTGCAATTGAGTAAAATGGATTGGAAGTATAAGACGGAGCCATCGGGTACATCGTGTTTGGGTAAGTGAGATTTGGACTTTAGACTAGACTTTAGACTAGACTATAGAGTAGACTTTAAACTAAACATAAGACTAAGCTTTAGACTAGATTAAAGACTAGACTATAGACTACACTAGACTAGACTATAGACTAGACTATAGACTAGACTATAGACTAGACTATAGACTAGACTATAGACTAGACTATAGACTAGACTATAGACTAGACTATAGACTAGACTAGACTATAGACTAGACTATAGACTTATAGACTAGACTATAGACTAGACTATAGACTAGACTATAGACTAGACTATAGACTAGACTATAGACTAGACTATAGACTAGACTATAGACTAGACTATAGACTAGACTATAGACTAGACTATAGACTAGACTATAGACTAGACTATAGACTAGACTATAGACTAGACTATAGACTAGACTATAGACTAGACTATAGACTAGACTATAGACTAGACTATAGACTAGACTATAGACTAGACTATAGACTAGACTATAGACTAGACTATAGACTAGACTATAGACTAGACTATAGACTAGACTATAGACTAGACTATAGACTAGACTATAGACTAGACTATAGACTAGACTATAGACTAGACTATAGACTAGACTATAGACTAGACTATAGACTAGACTATAGACTAGACTATAGACTAGACTATAGACTAGACTATAGACTAGACTATAGACTAGACTATAGACTAGACTATAGACTAGACTATAGACTAGACTATAGACTAGACTATAGACTAGACTATAGACTAGACTATAGACTAGACTATAGACTAGACTATAGACTAGACTATAGACTAGACTATAGACTAGACTATAGACTAGACTATAGACTAGACTATAGACTAGACTATAGACTAGACTATAGACTAGACTATAGACTAGACTATAGACTAGACTATAGACTAGACTATAGACTAGACTATAGACTAGACTATAGACTAGACTATAGACTAGACTATAGACTAGACTATAGACTAGACTATAGACTAGACTATAGACTAGACTATAGACTAGACTATAGACTAGACTATAGACTAGACTATAGACTAGACTATAGACTAGACTATAGACTAGACTATAGACTAGACTATAGACTAGACTATAGACTAGACTTTAGACTAGACTATAGAGTAGACTTTAAACTAAACATAAGACTAAGCTTTAGACTAGATTAAAGACTAGACTATAGACTACACTAGACTATAGACTAGACTATAGACTAGACTATAGACTAGACTATAGACTAGACTATAGACTAGACTATAGACTAGACTATAGACTAGACTATAGACTAGACTATAGACTAGACTATAGACTAGACTATAGACTAGACTATAGACTAGACTATAGACTAGACTATAGACTAGACTTTAGACTAGACTATAGAGTAGACTTTAAACTAAACATAAGACTAAGCTTTAGACTAGATTAAAGACTAGACTATAGACTACACTAGACTATAGACTAGACTATAGACTAGACTATAGACTAGACTATAGACTAGACTATAGACTAGACTATAGACTAGACTATAGACTAGACTATAGACTAGACTATAGACTAGACTATAGAATAGACTATAGACTAGACTATAGACTAGACTATAGACTAGACTATAGACTAGACTATAGACTAGACTATAGACTAGACTATAGACTAGACTATAGACTAGACTATAGACTAGACTATAGACTAGACTATATAGACTAGACTATAGACTAGACTATAGACTAGACTATAGACTAGACTATAGACTAGACTATAGACTAGACTATAGACTAGACTATAGACTAGACTATAGACTAGACTATAGACTAGACTATAGACTAGACTATAGACTAGACTATAGACTAGACTATAGACTAGACTATAGAACTAGACTATAGACTAGACTATAGACTAGACTATAGACTAGACTATAGACTAGACTATAGACTAGACTATAGACTAGACTATAGACTAGACTATAGACTAGACTATAGACTAGACTATAGACTAGACTATAGACTAGACTATAGACTAGACTATAGACTAGACTATAGACTAGACTATAGACTAGACTATAGACTAGACTATAGACTAGACTATAGACTAGACTATAGACTAGACTATAGACTAGACTATAGACTAGACTATAGACTAGACTATAGACTAGACTATAGACTAGACTATAGACTAGACTATAGACTAGACTATAGACTAGACTATAGACTAGACTATAGACTAGACTATAGACTAGACTATAGACTAGACTATAGACTAGACTATAGACTAGACTATAGACTAGACTATAGACTGGACTATAGACTGGACTATAGACTGGACTATAGACTGGACTATAGACTAGACTATAGACTAGACTATAGACTAGACTATAGACTAGACTATAGACTAGACTATAGACTAGACTTTAGACTAGACTATAGACTAGCCTATAGACTAGACTATACACTAGAATATACACTAGACTATAGACTAGACTATATTAGAGCAGACTATACTAGACTATAGACTGGACTATGTATTAGATTATTGATTAGACTATAGACTACTTGTCCATACTATAGACTGGGCTATATAATATTAAATATTACTCTATTTCTTAAAGAGTCCTTTTAAGAATGTTCGTTTTTTCCTTTCCAGCTATGAATGGCGGTCGTTGTAATTGGCCTCGTGGCAAGGTGCTGGGAGGTTCAAGTGTTCTTAATTACATGTTATATCTTCGCGGCAGTAAGCATGATTATGACGGTTGGGAGGCGCAGGGTAACACCGGTTGGGGCTATCGAGATGCTTTGTACTATTTCAAGAAATCAGAAGATAATACAAATCCCTATTTGGCCAGTACACCGTATCATTCTACCGGAGGTTATCTGACCGTAGGTGAGGCTCCTTATCATACTCCTTTGGCGGCCAGTTTTGTGGAGGCTGGAGTTGAAATGGGTTATGAGAATCGTGATTTGAATGGTGAAAAACAAGCTGGTTTTATGATAGCCCAAGGTACTACTCGTCGAGGCAGTCGTTGCAGTACAGCTAAGGCCTTCTTGAGACCGGCTAGATTAAGACCTAATCTGCATATATCCATGAATTCCCAGGTTACACGTATAATGATAGATCCTGTCACCAAATTGGCTTTTGGTGTGGAGTTTGTTAAAGATCAAAAACTGTTCCATGTTAGAGCTAAAAAGGAGGTTATTTTATCGGGTGGATCTGTCAATTCTCCACAAATTTTAATGCTTTCGGGTATAGGTCCAAGAAAAGAGTTGGCCAAACATCGTATACCCGTGATTAAGGAATTAAATGTGGGTGAAAATATGCAGGATCATATAGGTTTGGGTGGCCTAACTTTCTTGGTTAATCAACCGGTTTCCATAGTGGAAAGTCGATTCCATTCTATGTCTACGGTTTTACAATATGCTGTATTCGGTCAGGGACCTTTGACTATATTGGGCGGTGTGGAAGGTTTGGCTTTTGTTAATACCAAATATGCTAACAAATCTTTGGATTGGCCAGATATAGAGTTTCATTTTGTTTCCGGTTCCACTAATTCGGATGGTGGCAATCAGCTGAGAAAGGCTCATGGTTTAACTGATGCTTTCTATAGAGCAGTTTTTGAAAAGATTAATAATCATGATGTTTGGAGTATTATACCTATGTTGCTGAGACCCCGTAGCAAAGGTTCTATTAAATTGAGATCTGGTAATCCCTTTGATTATCCCTATATAATACCCAACTATTTGGCGGATGATTTTGATTTGAAAACTTTAATAGAGGGTGTTAAAGTGGCTGTAGCTCTATCACGCACCCAAGCCATGCAAAGATTTGGTTCACGCTTATCCGCCATTAAATGGCCCGGTTGCCAACATTTACAAATGTTTACCGATCCCTATTGGGAGTGCATGATAAGACATTATACTTGTACTATTTATCATCCGGTAGGCACTTGCAAAATGGGTCCCTATTGGGATCCCGAAGCGGTGGTAGATCCCCAGTTAAGGGTTTATGGCATTAGAGGTTTACGTGTCATTGATGCCAGTATAATGCCCACCTTGGTGAGTGCTAACACCAATGCTCCCGTTATAATGATTGCTGAAAAGGGTTCCGATATGATTAAAGAATTTTGGATTAAGAATACAGTCGTTTAATTAGTATTTAAGTTAAGTCACTAAATCTTAATTATATATTAGTTTAATTTTAGTCTTATTTAGCATTATTCGAAACCAAATTGAAACTTTTATTATTTATTTGTATTTTATAAAAAAATTAATTTTTATTATAAGTTTTATTTTTTACTTAAAAAATAGTTTATTAAGTTATTTATAATATTTATTACAAAGTTTTGTCTTTCGCTTAGAATTTTAATTTTATTTTAAGCGCAATTGATTGATTAAATGATTTTTTATATAAAAAAGTACGCCTAATTAAAAATTAAATAAAATGGAGAGCAAATGTTAAGATTAATTGCTTTAAAGCAACGTGTTTAAATATTTAAATAGAAATATCACTTAATTAATAATATAGTAAATTTCTACTTACTAGAAAAGGTAGAAAAGTTGCTGATTTTGCTATTTTATAGAACGGCATTGAAAAGTGCTCATTATAAAATATTTACTATCAGTTCATTGACCCAATAACCAGGTATATGGGGGAAGTTATTAAAACGCATTTAAATACTCTACACGAAAGATTATTGGTAAATTTTGAATCCAATTTAAAGCAGTATAGTCCAGCTAAAGGTATTTTTTTTCACAGGAGAAAGTAGAAATTATAAGGAAGTAGTCCAGTGTCTAGTACTTTGGGGGTAATGGAAGGTTACATCGGATCCGTTCCTTTTCGCGGACAATTTTGGTGGAAAACCTTTATCTATATAACAATGTATAAAAGGAAAAAAGTCTCTAGTCCAGTCTATAGTCTAGTCTATGGTCTAGTCTATAGTCTAGTCTATAGTATAGTTTGTAGTCTAGTCTATAGTATAGTCTATAGTCAAGTCTATAGTCAAGTCTATAGTCAAGTCTATAGTCTAGTCTATAGTCTAGTCTATAGTCTAGTCTATAGTCTAGTCTATAGTCTCGTCTATATTCTAGTCTATATTCTAGCCTATAGTCTATAGTCTAGTCTATAGTCTAGTCTAGTAGTCTATAGTCTAGTCTATAGTCTAGTCTATAGTCTAGTCTATAGTCTAGTCTATAGTCTAGTCTATAGTCTAGTCTATAGTCTAGTCTATAGTCTAGTCTAGTCTAGTCTATAGTCTAGTCTATAGTCTAGTCTATAGTCTAGTCTATAGTCTAGTCTATAGTCTAGTCTATAGTCTAGTCTATAGTCTAGTCTATAGTCTAGTCTATAGTCTAGTCTATAGTCTAGTCTATAGTCTAGTCTATAGTCTAGTCTATAGTCTAGTCTATAGTCTCGTCTATATTCTAGTCTATAGTCTAGTCTATAGTCTAGTCTATAGTCTATTCTATAGTCTAGTCTATAGTCTAGTCTATAGTCTATTCTATAGTCTATTCTATAGTCTATTCTATAGTCTAGTCTATAGTCTAGTCTATAGTCTAGTCTATAGTCTAGTCTATAGTCTAGTCTATAGTCTAGTCTATAGTCTAGTCTATAGTCTAGTCTATAGTCTAGTCTATAGTCTAGTCTATAGTCTAGTCTATACTCTAGTCTACAGTCTAGTCTATAGTCTAGTGTATAGTCTAGTGTATAGTCTAGTCTATAGTCTAGTCTAGTCTAGTCTAGTCTAGTCTAGTCTAGTCTAGTCTAGTCTATAGTCTATAGTCTATAGTCTATAGTCTATAGTCTATAGTCTATAGTCTAGTCTATAGTCTAGTCTATAGTCTAGTCTATAGTCTAGTCTATAGTCTAGTCTATAGTCTAGTCTATAATCTAGTCTATAGTCTAGTCTATAGTCTAATCTATAGTCTAGTCTATAGTGTAGTCTATAATCTAGTCTGTAGTATAGTCTATAGTCTAGTCTATAGTGTAGTCTATAGTCTAGTCTATAGTCTAGTCTATAGGCTAGTCTATAGGCTAGTCTATAGTCTAGTCTATAGACTAGTGTATAGTCTAGTCTATAGTCTAGTGTATAGTCTAGTCTATAGTCTAGTCTATAGTCTAGTCTATAGTCTAGTCTATAGTCTAGTCTATAGTCTAGTCTATAGTCTAGTCTATAGTCTAGTCTATAGTCTAGTCTATAGTCTAGTCTATAATCTAGTCTATAGTGTAGTCTACTCTAAGTTCTTTCTCAGATACCTAAATGAACTTATTTAAAACTCAAAATTATCAAATATTTATGTCAATATTCGATTTATAAAGAAACCCAACCAAGTTTATATATTTTCAATCAATAAATTCCAACACATTTGTATACCCATTATCAAAAAAGATGCGGGTATATTGATTTTGTCATTCCGTTTATAACGCATCGAAATATTGGTCAAAGATCCACAAAAGTATATATATTCTGGGTTCTTATTAAATTCTAAGACGATCTAGCCATGTCCTTCCGTCTGTCTGTTGAAAACACCTTAATAGGTAAGGTTTGTCTGGTATTGAAAATGGGCCATATCGGTCCACGTTTTCGGATAGCCCGAATATGTTTTAAAGTGCATATATGTTTTAAAAGTGTAACTATAGCGATGAAATTGAACATAAATAAGTTTTGTATGAGCAAAAACTCCTTGCCAAATTTTATGAGGATCGGTTCATAATTGACCCTACCCCCCATATAAGGTCCCCTTCAGAAAATGACTTTAACGCTCATTACTCGCTTAAAAATACGATTATAGCTATGAAATTTGACATAAGTAAGTTACTTTCAAGCCAAAACTTCTTTACCGAATTTTATGTAGATCGGTTCATAATTGGCCCTACCCCCCATAAAGGTCCCCTTCAGAAAACGACTTTAACGCTCATTACTGGATTCAAAATACAAGTATAGCGATAAAATTTGGCATAAGTAAGTCTTTTACGAGCCAAAATCTCTCTACAAAATTTTGTGTGGATCGGTTCATAATTGACCCTAACCCCTATATAAGATCACCTTCAGAAAATGACTGTAGCGGTCATTAATGGATTCAAAATACAAGTATAGCGATGAAATTCGACTGAAGTAAGTTCCTTGCGAGTCAAAATCTCTTAACCAAATTTTATGTGGATCGGTCTATAATTGACCCTACCCCCCTATAAGGTCCCTTTCAGATAATTACTCTAACGCTCATTACTGGCTTAAAAGTACGAGCATTGAGATGAAATTCGACATAATTAATTACTGACTTTTATGGGAATCGGCGTATGATTGGTGCCCATATACGCTCCCCAACAGAAAATAACATTAAAGTTCATTATTGGCTTAAAAATACGAGTAAAGCGATACACATACCAGTTAAAATCTCTCTACCAAATTTAGTGCGGATCGGTTCATTGAAGAGCTCTTCAGAAAATTACTTTAACGATCATTTCTGGCTTAAAAAGCCAGCCGAATATAACACTCTTACTTGTTTTTTATCTACAATTGACCCTAAATAAAGCACCCTTAATATTCGACCAGACTGTTTTATATAGTTCGTAATCGTAATAACATTGATTTCAATGCTTGCAATTTCCCGCAAAAATTTACACCATTTTCACACTACTACATTTAGATTTCTTATCATATTTTTGCAAAAATTTAGTTCAATGTTGAAATTTGTTTATAAATTTCAATAATTTTATAGTAAGAAAATCAGTATCAATCTAAACTTAAACTTGATTAGAACTGCAAATTAAAAGACAAGTGCTAGCGAAAAGGAAAAAATTTAATTAATTTATTACAAGTTCAAAAAAAAAAAAAAAAAAAAAATTATAAATAAAATAAATTACTTCTACACATAAGAGACGTCACATATTTTCAAAGTAATTTGCTATAAAAAGTTATTAAAAAAAATTTATGTAAAATTGAAATCGTTGAAAAAAAAAAACGTGAAGTTTAACAAAAATAACATTGATGCATTATCAATAATTGTATAATGATTAAATATTGAAATAAGTTAAAAAGAGAAAAATGTTGCGCATTGTTTTGTTAATAAAAGATTTGTTATAAAAAACATAAGGAAAATTGATTCCAAATTTAGGGAAAAAACTCGACTTATTATTTTATTTATAGAAAACTTAAGGCACCAATTCAGTGTTGAATTTTGGATTAAATCTTGACGAAATTTGGATTGGGGATCAAGTGTCAAGTGATTAGCATACAAATGACAAATATGTAGTTCTGAAAAGAATATCGGTGAGGATCCATGATTCTGATAATAACAACATATTAAAACCCAATAATTTGGAAGGAGGAAAGTCATAATATAGTTAAACTACTTTTAACTCAAAAAGCGGCTTTCTGCAGCACAGAAGAGGAAGCTGAAGAAGATTCTTCTGGAAATCATAGTGATTTCTGAATCAAAGGCGATCATCTCTCGAGGAACTGAATACTGAAAACAAATCTAAAAGAAAAAGTGTTCCGTGGATTTCGAAAACAAACACGTCGGCGAAAACCAATTTAGAAGTTAAGAGAGTCTCAAAAGTAACGTAGAAAAGTGACAAAACGGCTATCGTATTCTCTCTCAATATCTGAATCAAATAGGATCAAGTAAAGGAAAAGTGCTCTACATTTCACTCAAAGGAAACCCAAACCAGATTAGCGGATGACTAGTCATACCTCACTCAAAGGATACTCAAATCAGAATCCTGCAAGTTAAAGTCAAGAAAAGAATTTCAAACAAGAACCCTGTGGATTTCGAAATCAATCTAAAAGGTATGAGTTTCTCAAAAGAAACATCGAAAAGAGACCAAAAAACGGCTTTGTGGATGCTATCGTATTCTCCCTCAATATCTGAATCAAATAGGATCACTTAAAGGAAAAGTGTTCTCCATCATCTAATATACAGACGAAGCCAAGTAATACCTCACTCAAAGAAAACCCAAACCAGAATAGTGGAAGACTAGCCATACCTCACTCATAGGATACTCAAACCAGAATCCTGTGGGGTAATCTTAGGACGCTCTGAAGTGTATAATAGAATCTCTCTCAGTATCTGAATCAAATATAATCGGATCTTCTGAAGAGCTAAAGACTGAAAACCAACCTAAAAAGAAAAGTGTTCTACATCTTCTAATATACAAACGAAGCTAAGCCATGCCTCACTCAAAGGAAACCCAAACCAGAGCTCTGTGGGTAAGGGTAACAAAGCCAAGGACTATATTTCGAAAACGAACAAGTCGACGAATTCAATCAATCTAGAAGTTAGGAGTGTCTCAAAAGAAGCCCCTAAAAGCAAGGTGTAGGAATCGAGATAGTGAAAAGGAAAAACTTCGCTATCGTACGCCAAAACAGAAGAAACCAAGACGATCTACGCTATGCCGGTAATCTAACAGGCCAAATTAAAATACACCAGCACGGTAAGATAGAAGACCTGGTCAACAGTAAGACCACGTAAACCCTTCTAAGGACAAACAACCAATGAAGAGCGTGAGCGAGTTCAATATGGGCGTGATGTTGATAAGATCGACATCTTACCAATGTGCTGGCATCCTGAAGAACTTCGTAGAGAGTACCCCTCCTTTCTGTGACGGCACTAAGCTGGGACTGGTGTAGAAGAGGGATTTGGTGATCTCACAGTCCAATGTCTACATAAAATTGGAAGTTAATGAAAGCCAAAAATTCGGAACTGGATGTGGTGAAATGAGATGTCTTACGCAGGAAAGATAAATCTGAAGCCACTCTTTATGTAAATGGTATAGGTCAGAACTAAGAACAAAGGTATGGCTTATTTCGCCTCTAAAGTTGTCATTTCCAAAATAAGGAAAGGTGCCGATTGAAAGAACACAGTAAGGTAGATTTGGTCTGCAATAAGAACATGCAATTGCTACTAAGAGCAAACAACCAATCTCGCCAATGTGCTGTCATCCTAAAAAACTTGATGGAAAGTATTCCTTTTCCTTTGGTCCACAAGGGATGGGGCCACAAATTGGCTGATAAGCGCATATTGGACATTTTTCGAAGCCAAAATGCTGAACTGGGCGATATGAATTAAGATATCTTTCACAAGAAAGAGAAAACGGTATTCTTGTAATAGGTATGTATTAGAACTCTAAGGCTAGTTTTGCCAAGAACAAAGTTAGGACTTATTTAGCCTCTAAAGCAATCATCTTTAGAATTGGGAAAGTGCCGATTGGCAGAGCACAGTAAGGTACTTAGAAGATTTGGTCTACAATAAGACCATGCAATCGCTTCTATGGACTAACAACCAATCAAAATGTGCTGCCATTCTTAAGAATTAGGTGAAAAATATCATTTCTCCCGGAGAAGAGGGATCTTTCGTTGATGTCAAAGTTCATAAAAGGAAGGGGCAGGGAATAGGCCTCTTTTCTTGAAACCCAAAATGTCGAACTATTCGTGGAGAAATGGGATGTCTGTCAAAGAAAGACGAACCTAAGAGCAGTCCTTATGTAATAGCTATGGATTAGAACTCCAAGGCTAGTGTTGCCAAGAACATAGGTAGGACGTTTTTCGCCTCTTCAGCTGTTATCTTTAAAATTGAGAGAACTGTTACAACAAGCCCGGACAGGAACTTCGACGTTGTCCATAGAATCATTAGACACGATAAGTAATGTTGAGTAGTCAAAGTTTATGGAGTAGTCCATTACTAGTCTATAGACTTATCCATGAAAAAGTCAATAGACTAGTCAATTCTATACTCTATTGACGTGTCTATGGACTATTCTATTGATTTGTCTATGATCTATGAATTAGTTTATGAACTAGTCTAAGAACTGATCCCTAAACTTGACTATAGATTAGTAATTCTCGATTCTGTGGACTTGTCTATGGATAAATTTAAAAAGTAGTGTATAGAGTAGTCTATGGACTACTTTATGGTATAGTCTATGAACAAGTCCATATAGCAGTCAATTCTGTACTCTATGGACTAGTCTATTGACCATCCCAGACCATTATGAAGAAGTCCATAAAACGTTTTGTGTGCGAAAGGGTTAACTAAGGATAGTTTAGTAAAGGTAGCCTATAGAGTAGTCTATAAATTAGTGACTAGTATTCTATGATCTAAACTATGTACTAGTATATGAATTAGTCCATGAATTAATCAATTCTCTACTCTATTGACTTGAAGTAGTTTATGGGTTAGTCTAGTGACTAGTTTTTTTTTTTTTTTTGTATAGATCAGTATGTACCAGTATATAATCTAGTCTACGAATTAGTTCATGAACTAAAGTAAGAAAAGCTTAATCAACTAATCTATTAACTTGTCCACCGATAAGTCATTTATCTACTCTATTGCCTGGTCAACAGTAGTCTATGGCGTAGTCTAAGAATTAGTCTTATTAATGGACTTATTAATGCCCTTATTAAGGGACCAGCTTATGGAGTAATCTATTAAATAGTCTATTAATCAATTTTGGGACTATTGACTAGATTATCGAAAAGTTAAATTTCAAGTCTATGGACTAGTCATATATATATATTATAACTCCTCTGCCAGATTTCTGATATAAAAATGTTCTAAATTTCCTGCTCGCAGTACTTTAACATTTTGCCTCCACTGTCTTTTAAAAGCATAGCATGAAAACTTTTTACTGTTAGCAAAAGCTTTCTTTTTAAAAACTTTCACAATTAAAACAAATATAAAGCTTTATTTGTTTACAGTGGTTCAAATTGTAATAAATATAAACAAAAAACATAAAATGTTAAAAACCTAAAGTGCAATAACCTTAAAAAAATAAATAAAAAAACTAAATTAAACAGTTAAATTTTTTGAGGGGAATTTTATTAACAGAACAATGCGCTAAAAATTGGGCTAATAATGGCACACAGCAAACAAATATTTAATTACGTTTCAAGGTTTAACAAAAAACAATTTTGAACTCATTTTAAACCAAAAAATATACATATTTGATTTAAACAAAAAAAGTAAATAATAAAGTAAATAAAATTATCTGATTTTTAAACAATTAAAATTTTTTGCTAGAGGTTTTATTAAAAATATAAAATATTTAAAAATAATAGAACTTTTTTAAATCAGCAGTATTAACTCAAGAGAGTTCTTTGAGACAACATTTCACAATGAAATGGCGGGAGGGTAAGTTCAAGATATCGTACGAAAGTAAACGATTTAATTGTTCTATTTATAGTTCTTTATATACAGCTTTTAGTCTTAATTTTGGAAAACTTTCAATTGGTGCAGCTATATGTACTTAAGGGGTTTGCTACTAATATTCAATCGGCCGGCGAACGACTTGATTATGTGGATAATTTGCTGCAGCAATTATTTAACGAAGTGACTAGCAAAAAATTGGAATTAGAAGATTCTGAAATATGGCCCAAGGATTATGTTGACGAGTTTCTGAAACATGGTCAAATGTCATTTGATTATATAGTAGTGGGTGCTGGTACCGCTGGGTCTGTGGTGGCCAGTCGTTTAAGTGAAGATCCTCATGTTAAAGTTTTAGTTTTAGAGGCTGGTGGTGATCCGCCCATATTGTCGGAGGTATGTTTGGGGTTTTGAGAAATCTATATAAAAAATTATATATTTTCTAAATATTTTTTTGTTTTAGATTCATACTTTGTCCTTGCAGCTGCTTAATACCTCTTATAGTTGGAACGATTATGCTGAACCCAATCCCTCTTGTTGCCAGGCAATGAAAGGGGGACGCTGCTATTGGCCTCGCGGTAAAATGATAGGAGGTACTGGAGGCATAAATGGCAATATATTTCTAACGGGACATGCCGATGATTTTGACGAATGGCAACAGCAAGGCAATGCTGGTTGGTCTTGGAATGATGTATATCCGTTCTATGAAAAAGCCACCCATGAACTAGATAATAAAACCTGGCCCTTGGGTTCTTTAACTTTAAACTATTTCCAACGTTTGGATGACTATCATGTGCTAAAAGATCTAATGGTAAATGCCACCCATGAAGTGGAAAGATTATTAAAAATCAAAAGTCCCGGTTATATGGAAAACATACTGGCAACCATAGATCGAGGGAAAAGAATGAGTACGGGTAAAACGTATTTGGCTAGAGTGGCCCATAAACGTCATAATTTACATGTCATTAAACACAGTGTGGCCACAAAAATTCTCTTTCATAATGGCAATAAAGCTACAGGAGTAGAATTTCTATTAAATGGAACTACAATCTTAAGAGCTCGAGCCCGCCGAGAGCTCATAATAAGTGCTGGTACCTTTAACTCACCTAAACTCTTAATGTTATCGGGTGTAGGACCGCCAGAACATTTAAAAAGTCTAAATATACCCGTGGTAAAAAGTTTACAAGTGGGTGAAAATTTACAAGATCATGGCATGATGCCTTTAGTATTAAAACTTACTAAGAATATACCTCCAGCAACAGATGACTCTAGTCCTCTTTCAATATTCGATTATTTAATAAATCAAAAGGGTCCCTTGGCAAGCAGTTCCACTTTAGTGGGTTTTATTAATACTTTACAACAAAAACAAGCCAATAAATCGGATATAATGCTAGTGTCACACTTTAGTAAACCCACCAAAGGTTCCAATGTTTTTGAGTTCTTACAATTTAAGCGTGATATAGTTAAAAAGTTCTTAAATAAAGTGGAAAATCATACGATATTGGAAATACAGGGTTTGATTATAAAATCCCAGTCCAGGGGGTTTGTTAAGCTGAAAACTAAAGATCCTCTACAAGGTCCCTTAATACACAATAATTATGCCTTAGCGGAAGAAGATCGTCAGACCCTTTTACGCTTCATACGTTTCATACAAAATCTTGTTAAAACAACAGCTTTCCAATATTATGGTTTGGAATTGATTACCATACCTCTAGAAGAGTGTGATCGTTTAACGTATGATTCCAATGATTATTGGCTTTGTTATATCAAATATTTCTATATAAGTGCTTGGCATGCAGTGGGCACTTGTCGCATGGGTCCGTCTACGGATAGCTCAGCAGTAGTGGATCAACGTTTGAGAGTTCATGGTATCAGAGGTTTGCGTGTGATAGATGCCAGTATTATGCCAAATATAACTAGTGGCAATACTAATGGTCCCACCATTATGATTGCCGAACGAGCGGCCCAATTAATTAAAGATGATTGGTTTAATAATATATCGTAGTGAAGATAGAAGTATTTAGACAAATTTTAAATGTAATTTAATTTTTAAGTACCTATAGGGTTAAATAAGTACAATATATAGAAATGTAAATAAATTTTAATTAAGATTTTGGAGTGTTAGGTACTTTATTTTGCTGATATCTGGGTGAGTACTTGTTTTATCAAGAATTTCGTAAAATTATCGGGGAAAAATGACAGAAAACTATTTATATTTTTCATAAGAAGTCTGTAGTGTTGTTGTAAAAACTATACAGTAATATAACCAGAATGTTCAGGCCTAAGGGGACCCTAGGCAAAAGCTGGATATTTCTTAGGAACAGTACGACCTTCTGGCCCCGCATAGGCCAGAAGGCATTAAGCCTGTTGTTACATACTGATCTGAGTTGTATCAGAGCTAATCTGGTTTTCCTCGGCAATATTTCCAAATAGTCGGTGGACGACCTACTACTAGTAGTCATATACATATGTATATATGACTGTCGTTCATTGAGATACAAAAGAGGAATGAGGGAAAGAAATCTTTAATATCTAAACGGTTAGACCGATTTGAACGGTATTTTACATTTGTAAAAGGGAAGTGGTTCCGAAGAAATACAATAATTTTTAAAATTTTAAATAGACGGGATGTCCTACTTTGGGAACCTCTGGCCACGCCCCAGGTAGGCCCATTAGGTCCAAATTCAAAACATTAATTTAACAGCACTTCCTCTTTGTACATGGACTAACTATTTAGTAGCCACAGAGTGAGTTCCTCAAAGCTGCCGTATACGTGGAGGAAAGTCCTTCCTGACATGCTTCGGGGAGCATTTAAATAGTAATGATAAGGGGAACTTTTTAGTCAATATGACGTTAAGTTCCTTGATTGTGAAAACCTTCATTTTCTTGTGAAGGTGATATTCTGAAATAAATTGCCAGCAGCCCGTTTCAGTCCTTAACTATTCACCAGATCATACAGTTTATCTTTGTTGTGGCCCCTCACATCACATTCACTCTCAGTTGTGCCAGAACTATTCTGGATGTGGTCATATCACTATGTAGAGTCGTCCGCAAAAGATATCATATCCATTCCATATAGAGGCGCGGGAGCAACTTTCAGGATTCGACCAGATTAGGATTAATTTTACTTTATCCGAAAACTTGATTTGTTGTTGTCGCGAAACTCTCTGCCCGTTTTTGGTTAATTTAAGCGTTACGCCCACTATATTTAAGACTCGTAAGAAACTTACTTACATATGTCAAATTTCTTCTCTACATTCGTGCTTTTAAGCCAGTAACGAGCGTTAAAGTAATTATATGGAGGGGAGCTTATATGGGGTAGGGTCAATTATTGACCGATCCACATGAAATTTGGTAGATAGATTTTGATTCGCATGAAACTTACGTGTATCCAATTTCATCGCTATATTCTTATTTCGAAGCCAGTAATGAGTGTTAAAATAATTTTTTGAAGGGGACCTTATATCGGGATAGACAGATTTTGGTCTTATGGAACTTATGTATGTCGAATTTCATCGCTATACTCGTATTTTTAAGTCAGTAATGAGCGTTAAAGTAATTTTTTTGAAGGGGACCTTATATCGGGGGTAAGGTCAATTATGGACCGATCCACATAAAATTTGATAGACAGATTTTGGTCTTATGGAACTTGTGTATGTCGAATTTCATCGCTATACTCGTATTTTTAAGCCAGTAATGAGCGTTAAAGTAATTTTTTGAAGGGGACCTTATATGAAGGATAGGGTCAATTATGGACCGATCCACATAAAATTTGGTGGAGAGGGTTTGGCTTCTAAGATACTTACTTATGACAAATTTCATTACTATACTCGTTTTTGTAAGCCAGTAATGAGCATTAAAGTCATTTTCTGAAGGGGACCTTATAAGGGGTGTAGGGTCAATTATTGACCGATACATATAAAATTTGGTAGAGAGATTTTGACTCGCATGAAACTTATGTGTGTCGAATTTCAGCGCAATATTCTTATTTTTAAGTCAGTAATGAGCGTTATAGTGATTTTCCGAAGAGGACCTTATATTATGGACCGATCCTCATAAAATTTGGTAGGGCGATTTTGACTCATATGAAACTAATTTATGTCGAATTTTATTTTTATACTCGTACTTTTAAAACAGATATGTATGGGTGTCAATACCAAACAAACCTTATCTATGGAAAATATTTGTGGAAAATTTCCACCCTCTAGCTCATTCCGTTCGGACTCCATCGTGCTTTCAACAGACGGACGGTCATGGCTAGATCGTCTTAGAATTAATTAAGGACCCAGAATATATACATATACTTTTGTGGGTCTATGACCATTATTTTGATGTGTTACAAACGGAATGAAAAATCAATATACCCCCCCTCCCATTTTTTTAATGGTGGGTATAAAAATATTCCAAAATAACTATTTTTATTTGTAGTAAGTGCCACGCCCACCATTCAGATCCCGCCCATTTTTATATAAATTACTTCAAATGAAATTACTCGTGTACAATTTTGGGACACAATTTTTTCTAGATATTAATTAAAGCAATAATAAAGCCACGCCCACTTTATGAAACCGCCCATTTTAGTTCTAGATACTTTAATAACATAATAATAACAATAATTGGTATGAAAATTTCAGAAAGATGGGTTTAGCATTTTTGCGTATTTCCTCACTGTAAATTGTTTTCTGGTTTAAACATTTGTTAGTCACTGTTATCTAACATTAAAAGTAAAGATTGCTGTTCTTATTTTAATGACAATGTCTGTTCTTATATCAAAATACTGAAAAGCTTTTTATAGCTTTTTCTCATATTGACTTACTATTGCTGTTACTATTGCTATACTTATTTCTGTGCAATCTTCTGTTATTATAACTGTTTGGAGAAAAGCTTTTAATAGTTTTTTTAACATTAAACGGTTGAAAAGCTTAACTTAAAACTTTGAAATTAAAGTAAAAGTTTTAGCTTAATGTTAATTTGAAAACTATTAGAAAGTGTTAATACCCTAAAATGGGCATACACTTAATTTAAAACGTTTTGTTGAAAAATGTTTATAAAAAATTTTTAAATAATTTATTAATTAAGCAATTTATTTAATAGTTTAAAGGCAGATTTAGTAAATTAGATTAAAAAATTTGATTGGTATTAACAATATAAAAGATAAAAGTGATTAGACACCAATGTTTAGTAAAGAGTTGGAAACGTTAAAAGTCGGAGGAGGAATTTGATGAATTTTTTTGTAGAGAAAAAATCAAAATTGGATTTCAAGATATAAAATATAGAAAAAAGCTTTAGTAATGAAAAGGGGTAAGTGGTTTTGAAAAAGTCATATTAAAGGTCCCCAACTATTCCTAACGGTTTTAAATTTTAGAGGTTCTTTTGGCGGTTATTATAACCTTAGTCCTCCTAGTCAACGTCAGTGGTAATGAGGCTGAGGATAGACTGAATATTTTAAATGAATTGTTCAGAAATGTCTACAATAACATAACAGAACCCAAGGTACCTTTCGACAATCAAAATATATGGCCTAAAGCTAATGCAGGTCACCTTTCTAGTTATGATTATATAGTCATAGGTGCTGGTACTGCTGGATCCATTGTTGCCAGTCGTTTAAGTGAAAATCGTCTGAATACAGTTTTAGTTATAGAAGCAGGAGGTGATCCTCCTTTAATATCTGAAGTAAGTGAGATTAAAAGCTTAAAAAAACATGATTTATTCTGTTTGTATTTCAGATCTCCTCTCTATCCCTTTTGCTAGCTAATACCTCTTACACCTGGAATGATTATACCGAACCGAATCCTAACTGCTGTCAGGGTATGAAAAATGAACGCTGTTATTGGCCGCGTGGTAAAATGTTGGGTGGTACGGGTGGCATTAATGGCAATGTTTTTCTAGAGGGTAGACCTGAAGACTATAATGAATGGCAGCAGCAGGGCAATAAAGAATGGGCGTGGGAGAAGGTTCAAAAGTATTTTACAAAAGCCAAAACAGATGTCCGCCTTGAAAATCCTTCTAAGGGATCATTAGTTTTAAATAATTTTCAACGTTCGCAAGATTTTCAAATAACAAAGGAGTTATTTTCAAAATCCATAGGAAAATCGGAAATGGGTGTGAATAAGGGCATACTAGACAATCTGGAAGCCACTATTTTTCAAGGTGAACGCATGAGTACGGCTAAAACCTATTTGGCTAGAGTGGCCAAAGAACGTAAACATAATTTGCATATTCTAAAGAATAGTGAGGCCATTAAAATAAATTTTAGAGATAAAACAGCCTTAGGGGTGGAATTTATAACACAAAATCTTGCCCGGCATTATGTCAAGGCCAAAAAAGAAATTATTGTTAGTGCAGGAGCTATAAATTCTCCTAAACTATTAATGTTATCGGGTATAGGACCCTCGGAACTTTTAAATAAGTTAAATATACCCCTGATCAAAAACCTGCCTGTAGGACAGAATTTACAAGATCATGGCATGATGCCTTTGTTATTGAAATTTACCAAAAATATACCCCCGATAAATAATCAGACTTTGGAAAAGTCCCTTAAAGAATTTTTCTTAAAACGTTCTGGACCTTTAGCCAGTAATGCTAATTTGGTGAGTTTTATTAATACTTTAGACTTAGATAGTGATAAAAAACCAGATGTCATGTTGGTAACTGAGATAACCAGATTTACTGAAAGTTCCAATGTTTTTGAATTTTTACAATTTAAAGAGGAAATTTGCCAATTATACTTAAAGCAAGTGGATAACCAATTGGTTTTACAAATATTTGGTCTCTTAGTTAGACCCAAATCCAGGGGCTCCGTTAAATTGAAGTCTTCCAATCCTTTTGAAGGCCCCGCTATAGTAAATAATTATGCTTCGGTTTTAGAAGATCGTTTAGCTTTAGGGCGCTTTGTGCGCTTTATACAATTTCTTATAGAAAGTCCCGAATTCCAGTATTATGGTTTAGAATTGGTAACTATACCTTTAGAGGAATGTGATCTATTTAAAGCAGATTCTGATGAATATTGGAGGTGTTATATTAAGTATTTTTATATTAGTGCCTGGCATGGGGCTGGTAGTTGCCGCATGGGTCCTATTAATGATTCATCTGCAGTAGTAGATGATATGTTAAAGGTTCATGGGGTCCAGGGTTTAAGAGTGATTGATGCCAGCATTATGCCTAATATAACAAGCGCCAATACTAATGGTCCCACTATTATGATAGCAGAGAAGGGGGCTCAACTAGTTTTAGATGATTGGTTCGAAAAGAGAGGGAACTACTTACCCGAGGTTTAGAATTTCCTTGTATTCTTTAGATTTAAGTTAATTTATTACCTAAAAATAAAAGAAATTAAAGAAAAATTGTTAAAAACTGTTAAAAATTTACAAAAATAAAGAAAATGTTTGAAAAAAAAAAAAATAATCGTTAAGACCCAGATAACCATTAAAAACTAAACACTATTTATAACTCTCTGGCACACTCTCTAGCACGCTTTTAAAATAAATATTTACAATTTATTAAAAAAGTTAATTCACACACTTCATGGTTGGAAAATGCTGATGTTGGGCTTCTTAAAAAACGTCAAAAACTTTGTGACCCAAAATATATAGTAAATCCAAATTAGCAAAAAGTAAAAAAAATTGAAAAATCGGCAAAATTTTTAGACAAAACAGAAGTCAGTAAAAAAACTAATTTCCACAGAAAATGTTTTAAACTTATAATATTGAAACACAATTCAGTGTCAAATAAGTTATTAAACGGTAAACAAGCGGGAATTGTAATTAAACGGTAGAAATCAATAAATAAAAGAAATGATACATTTTGAAGGAGCTGTTACCTTATGGCGTTTCCTTTTAACCATAGGGCCTAGTGCCATGGTGTTTTTTATGCTCTTAGAGGGTATACGACAACAACGTCCCGATATTGTGGATGCAGAAAATCGTGTTCAATCCATACATATTATGGATTTACGTGACAGCTACGATTTCATTATAGTGGGCGGTGGTTCAGCCGGTTGTGTTTTAGCTGCCCGTCTCTCGGAAGTTAAACATTGGAATATTTTACTTTTAGAGGCGGGTGGAGATGAACCCACATTTGCCGATGTCCCACAACTTTATCCGATATTTCAACGCAGCCCCTGGGATTGGAAATATAAAACGGAAAAATCTGATCGTTATTGTTTAGCCATGCAGAACCAACAGTGCGGTTGGCCTAGAGCCAAAATGTTAGGTGGTTGCAGTTCTATCAATGCCATGCTGTATATACGTGGTAATCGTAAAGATTATGATCATTGGGCTGAATTGGGTAATGTCGGTTGGAATTATGATAATGTTTTACATTATTTTCGTAAAATGGAAGATAATCGTATAGCGGAATTTCAACATGATCCTTATCATGGTCATGGTGGACCATTAACGGTGGAAAATTATCGTTTTCCTTCGCCTTTGTTGGATATTTTCTTAATGGCGGCCAAACAATTGAATTTGGTAAGTAAGAGTTGCAGTTTTCGTAGTTAATTTTTCTACAAAAAACTATTTTTCTACAAAATGTTCTTGAAAATAGATTTTTATTAAAAACTGCTCGAAGAAGAAGAATTCTATAGAAAAGTGTTTTAAACCGATGTTTTCTATATAAAAATATTTCATGAATATCTTTTTGTGTAGATAATTTATTCGTATAACAGTTCACTATAGAAAACTGCTTCGTGGTAAACTTGTTTTTGTTTTCTATAGAATTTTTTTTCGTGGAACTGTTTTCTATAGAAAACTTCTTCGTGAAACAGTTTTATACAAAAAATTTCTACGTATAACAGTTTTCTATAAAAAAACTTTTTCTTATAATAGTTTTTAAAGCAGTTCTCTAAAGAAATGTTCAGTTTTCTATAGAAAACATTTTTGTGAAAAAGTTATCTATACATTTTTGTGAAAAAGTTTTCTATATAATACTTTTTGGACAGTTTTCTATAGAAAACTTCTTTGTATAACAGTTTTCTATAGAAAACTTCTTTGTAGAACAGTTTTCTATAGAAAATTGCTTCGTGTAATAGTTTCCTATAGAAAATTTCTTCGTGGTACAGTTTTATATAGAAAACTTCTTCATGGAACAGTTTTCTATAGAAAACTTCTTCGTATAATAGTTTTCTATAGAAAAATTCTTTGTATAACAGTTTTTCACAGAAAACTTCTTTGTATAACAGTTATCCACAGAAAACTTCTTTGGATAACAGTTTTCCACAGAAAACTTCTTTGTATAACAGTTTTCCACGGAAGACTTATTTGTATAACAGTTTTCCACAGAAATCTTCTTTGTATAACAGTTTTCTATAGAAATCTTCTTTTTATAACAGTTTTCTATAGAAAACTGGTTTGTACAAAAGTTTTTTAAAGAAAACTTATTTTTATAACAGTTTTATATAAGAAACTTCTTCGCAGAACAGTTTTCTATAGAAATATCTTTGTTAAACAGTTTTCTATAAAAAACATTTTTCTATAAAAAACAGTTTTTTATAGAAAACATTTTTTTATAACAATTGTCAACAGAAAACTTCTTTGTATAACAGCTTTCCACAGAAAACTTCTTTGTATAACAGTTTTCCACAGAAAACTTCTTTGGATACCAGTTTTCTATAAAAAACTTCTTTTTATAACAGTTTTCTATAGAAAACTGGTTTGTACAAATGTTTTTTAAAGAAAACTTCTTTTTATAACAGTTTTATATAAGAAACTTCTTCGTAGAACAGTTTTCTATAGAAATATCTTCGTTAAACAGTTTTCTATAGAAAACTTATTTTTAGAATAGTTTTCTATCGACAACTTCTTTGTAAAAGAGTTTCCCACAGAAAACTTTTTTGTATTACAGTTTTCTATAGAAAACTTTTTCGTGGAACAGTTTTCTATAGAAAACTTCTTTGTTAAACAGTTTTCTGTAGAAAATTTTATAGTATAACAGTTTTCTATAGAAAACTTTTTTATTGTAGAACAGTTTTTTATAAAAAAAACTTCTTCGTGGAATAGTTTTCTATAGAAAACTTCTTCGTGGAACAGTTTTATATAGAAAACTTCTTCGTTAAACAGTTTTCTATAGAAAACTTCTTCGTTAAACAGTTTTCTGTAGAAAATTTTATCGTATACAAGTTTTCTATAGAAAATTTCATCGTGGAACGGTTTTCTTTAGAAACCTTTTTCATAGAAGGGTTTGCAATAGGAAACATCTTCTTCGTATAACAGTTTTCTACAAATAAATTTTGTTTCCCATTCACAGCTGAATCCCTACAAAGATTTTAATGGCCGCTCCCAATACGGTTTTGCTGCTCCCCATGGCACTTTACGTGACGGACTACGTTGCAGTGCCAACAAGGCCTACATTAGGCCCATATGGAAACGACCCAATTTAGATGTATTACTAAAAGCCTTTGTAGAGAAAGTAATCATAGATCCATATAGCAAACAGGCTAAGGGCATAACATTCAATTGGTTGGGTGTTAAGTACAATGTAAAAGCCACACGCGAAGTTATTTTATCTAGTGGAGCCATAGCTAGTCCTCAACTCTTAATGGTATCGGGAGTGGGGCCCCGTAAACAACTACAGCAACATGACATAGAGGTTATACATGAACTGCCCGGTGTGGGTGGTAATCTTCAAGATCATATTTCGGCTACAGGTAGTTTATACACCATAGATAATAGGGTAACTGGAGATCGTTTATCGTTTATAGTGCCCGAAATGTTAAATGCCAAATCAGTGGATTCATTTCTTCATCATGCCGATGGTTTCTTTTACGCCATGCCTGTATCAGAGGTTATGGGATTTTGGAATAGTAAATATCAAGATCCCAGTAAAGACTGGCCAGATGTACAATTTTTCTTGGGCAGTTATGGCTATGGTGCTGATGGTGGTCTTATAGGCAGGCGAGGGGCTGCCATGACCATGATTAACTATGCCCAATCATTTGAACCGATATTATATAAAGATAGTTTTATTATTACCCCCTTATTGATGAGACCAAAAAGTCGTGGTTGGCTGGAAATTACCTCGAAATATAATAGTGAATATCCGAAAATATATCCCAATTATTATGATAAACCTATAGATATGGCGATTATGGTAAGAGTATAATAGAAATATAATATATAATTTGTATTATAAAAGACTAAATTTCATTTATTACAGGTGGATGCCTTAAAATTTTCCCACCAGTTCAGTCAAGCTCCCATCTTGAGACGTTTAAATGCTACTCTCAATATTTATGTTTGGCGTAATTGTCCTCATGTGGAGTATTTAAGTGATGCTTTTTGGGAGTGTATAGCTCGCTTTTATTCTCAGACAATTTTTCATCCGGTAGGCACCTGTAAAATGGGTCCCAACAATGATCCTAATGCTGTGGTAGATCCACGCCTAAGAGTTTATGGCATTAAAGGTTTGAGGGTAATAGATGCCAGTATTATGCCCACCATTACAACGGGTAATACAAATGCACCCACATTAATGATTGCCGAAAAAGCTGCCGATTTGATTAAAGAGGATTATTTTCATTATAGACATTAAAGGGGTATTTTTAAGTTTAAGTCTAATAAAAATATATTTTAGTAAAAAGGGATTTTGAAGAACCAAGATAAATTTTGATCAATCGTTTGAACCGTTACTATATACATAGATATAATTGTTCAAAAGTCTCAAGGGGTTTAGATGAATCTGGGTTCAACGGTTTACTACCAACCTCACATTATCTCATTTAATAGTATAGCCTACTCGTACCACACCATCAAAATCTCTCAATACTCGTTCCATTATTGATTTATCATGAGATATTTTAATTACTTTAACATTTTAAATATATTTAGTGTTGACAGTCAAAATATTTTGTAATAAATTTATTTGTTTCATTTCATTAAATTTATTTTTTACTCTTAAAGTTTCCGCAACTGGTCGTCAAAGTTGTCCAAACAATTTAACCCAAAACGTTATACACTTGCAACAACTATTCGCTTTGATCAAGGTAAAAATGTGATGTAATCATGTGTGTTTAAAAGGGATTTGAAGGCAAATACTCATTATAAAAGGAAACCTAGTCCAAGGCAATTAAGATTAGAAAACTATTGATTTAAGTGAGATGCAAAAATTGTTGTTTAAAAAAGTAACACGTTTTCATCTGCAATATGCATTCAAATAAAGTGCAGATTAGAAACCAGTCCGAAGAAGAAAATTGTGAGAGAAAAATGCCAGCCGTTTAAAACATACATATAACTACATAGATCTAGAAAACATTTTTCTGAAGAAAATTTCTTCACAAAAAATTTCTCCATAGAAAACTTCTTCGGAGAACAGTTTTCTGCAAAAAGTTCTATTTTATTTTTTTTTATTATTTATTCATCACTTATTATTCAATTGTTTAATTTTTACAAAAACTTTTAATTTTACAAAAATTACTTAAACTAGACCCGCAAAACTTTGATTGACTGCAGAGTTTTTCTATAGAAAACTACAATGTGGAACAGTTCTATAATAGAATCTTCTTCGCATAATAGCTATTCATAGAAAACATCATTGTATAACAGTTTTCCTTAAATAAACTTCTTTATGGAACAGTTACCTTTATCTATATATTTAAAGATCTTTGTATAACAGTTTTTCTATAATAAACTAATTAATAAATAAATTAACTAACAGTTATCTATAATTAACTAATTAACTAATTAATAAATTAACTAACTAACTAACTAACTACTAATTAATAAATTAACTAACTACTAACTAACTAACTAACTAACTAACTAACTAACTAACTAACTAACTAACTACTACTAACTAACTAACTAACTAACTAACTAACTAACTAACTAACTAACTAACTAACTAACTAACTAACTAACTACTAACTAACTAACTAACTAACTAACTAACTAACTAACTAACTAACTAACTAACTAACTAACTAACTAACTACTAACTAACTAACTAACTAACTAACTAACTAACTAACTAACTAACTAACTAACTAACTAACTAACTAACTAACTAACTAACTAACACTAACTAACTAACTAACTAACTAACTAACTAACTACTACTACTAACTAACTAACTAACTAACTAACTAACTAACTAACTAACTAACTAACTAACTAACTAACTAACTAACTAACTACTAACTAACTAACTAACTAACTAACTAACTAACTAACTAACTAACTAACTACTAACTAACTAACTAACTAACTAACTAACTAACTAACTAACTAACTAACTAACTAACTAACTAACTAACTAACTAACTAACTAACTAACTAACTAACTAACTAACTAACTAACTAACTAACTAACTACTAACTAACTAACTAACTAACTAACTAACTAACTAACTAACTAACTACTAACTAACTAACTAACTAACTAACTAACTAACTAACTAACTAACTAACTAACTAACTAACTAACTAACTAACTAACTAACTAACTAACTAACTAACTAACTAACTAACTAACTAACTAACTAACTAACTAACTAACTAACTAACTAACTAACTAACTAACTAACTAACTAACTAACTACTAACTAACTAACTAACTAACTAACTAACTAACTAACTAACTAACTAACTAACTAACTAACTAACTAACTAACTAACTAACTACTAACTAACTAACTAACTAACTAACTAACTAACTAACTAACTAACTAACTAACTAACTAACTAACTAACTAACTAACTAACTAACTACTAACTAACTAACTAACTAACTAACTAACTAACTAACTAACTAACTACTAACTAACTAACTAACTAACTAACTAACTAACTAACTAACTAACTAACTAACTAACTAACTAACTAACTAACTACTAACTAACTAACTAACTAACTAACTAACTAACTACTAACTAACTAACTAACTAACTAACTAACTAACTAACTAACTAACTAACTAACTAACTAACTAACTAACTAACTAACTAACTAACTAACTAACTAACTAACTAACTAACTAACTAACTAACTAACTAACTAACTAACTAACTAACTAACTAACTAACTAACTAACTAACTAACTAACTAACTAACTAACTAACTAACTAACTAACTAACTAACTAACTAACTAACTAACTAACTAACTAACTAACTAACTAACTAACTAACTAACTAACTAACTACTAACTAACTAACTAACTAACTAACTAACTAACTAACTAACTAACTAACTAACTAACTAACTAACTACTACTAACTAACTAACTAACTAACTAACTAACTAACTAACTAACTACTAACTAACTAACTAACTAACTAACTAACTAACTAACTAACTAACTAACTAACTAACTAACTAACTAACTAACTAACTAACTAACTAACTAACTAACTAACTAACTAACTAACTAACTAACTAACTAACTAACTAACTAACTAACTAACTAACTAACTAACTAACTAACTAACTAACTAACTAACTAACTAACTAACTAACTAACTAACTAACTAACTAACTAACTAACTAACTAACTAACTAACTAACTAACTAACTAACTAACTAACTAACTAACTAACTAACTAACTAACTAACTAACTAACTAACTAACTAACTAACTAACTAACTAACTAACTAACTAACTAACTAACTAACTAACTAACTAACTAACTAACTAAACTAACTAACTAACTAACTAACATAACTAACTAACTAACTAACTAACTAACAAACTAACAACTAACTAACTAACTAACTAACTAACTAACTACTAACTAACTAACTAACTAACTAACTACTAACTAACTAACTAACTACTAACTAACTAACTAACTAACTAACTAACTAACTAACTAACTAACTAACTAACTAACAAACTAACAACTAAAACTAACTAACTAACTAACTAACTAACTAACAACAAACAACAAACAAACAAACAAACTAACTAACTAACTAACTAACTAACGTGTTATAGTTCCTCTTCGCATAATACTTTTCTATGGAAAATTTCCTCGTATAACAGTTTTCTATAAACCCTTTTTTGTATAAAAGTTTTCGATAAAAAACGTCTTTGTATAAGAGTTTTCTATAGAAAACAGTTTTATACAGAAAACGTCTTCCTGGAACAGTTCTCTACAGAAAACATCTTCGCAAAACTGTTTTCTATAAAAAATTTTTTCGTACAACAAGTTTTCTGTCAAAACTTCTTCGTTTTCTATAAAAAACCTCTTCGTACAACTGTTTTCTATAAGGATTACTTCGCAGAACAGTTTTATATTGAGAAGTGTTGCCTATAATAAAAGTTTTCCTAGAACAGTTTTCTATAGAAAACTTCTTATTATAAAACATTTCTATAGAAACCGTCTTCGCATAAAAGCCGTCCATAGAAAGCTTCTTCGTATAACAGATTTCTATAAAAACCTTCTTTGTATAAAAGTTTTCTATAGAAAACTTCTTCGTATAACAGTTTTATATAGAATACTTCTTTGTATAACAGATTTCTATAAAAAGCTTCTTCGTATAACAGTTTTCGGTAAAACTTCTTCTAAAGATTGTTTCTATAGACAAAATCTTCGTGGAACAGTTTTTTATAGAAAATTTTTTCGTATAACATTTTTCTATAGAAAACTTCTCCGCATAGTAGTTTTCTATAGAAAGCTTTTTCCCATAATAGTCTTCTATAGAAAACAACTTCGCAGAATAGTTCTCTATAGAAAACATCTTCGTATAACTTCCTCTGCATGGAACAGTTTTCTATAGAAAACATCTTCGTTGAACTGTTTTCTACAGAAATCATCTTCGTAAAACAAGTTTTTTATACAAAATTTCTTCTCAAGACTGTTTTCTATAAAAAAAACTTCTTCGTACAACTGTTTTCCATAAATAATTACGACGTAGAACAGTTTTATATTGAGAAGCTCTGCGTATTGTAAAGTTTACTTTCATTTTCCTTTTAACACTTGGTAGTTAATAACATTGTTAACAATTATAAAATTGTTAATAGCAATACAAATAAAAACGCCATAATTTGTTAATTATTTCGACTTTACTTTTATTATCTTTAAGAATCTAAAGAAAATAAAACAAAAATAATTTATTTAAAATAATGCATTTAAACTTTTAAGTACGTTCATTACAATACCATTACAAACTAAATGAGATGAAGTTTAAAGACAAAGTTTATCGGCAACTGTAATTTATAACAATTTGTATTAATCACACATTTAATTAGCTGCTGCACAAAAAGACAAATAAAATCTTATATAATTTTTCAATAAACAAAACAATAATTGCATAAAAGTATTTACAACAACATTTTTTTGTTATATACACGATTTTTATAAATAAAAAAAATCTAAACTGCCACACAAATTTAAACAAACTCAAGGAGAAAATAAAACATAATTTACAAGTTTTACCTGTTTCCAGAGCCACCATTTGAGGCAAAAAGAATCAATAAGTTTTGTTGGCATTTTGGTGGTTTGATTGGAATATATACAGGTGGAGGAGATACAGACGCAGTCACGTCTTAACTTTGGTTATATATAAACTTGTTATTTATAAATCTTAAAATGAACAACAAATGAAAAATTCTCCATTTATAAACAAAACAGGTGGTTGTCACAAGTGAATTTTCAAATTTTAGTTTATTAAGAAAACACGTCTTTTCAAATTCAGTGCATCAAGAAAACTCCACGTTAAAACATCACTTTCAATTGCATACAATCTTATAAAAATGCTTCAAGCGTCTGTGACTAAGTTCCTAAACATTATCGTTGTACTTGGTTTATTAACATTTCAAGGGGTTTGGAGTGCCCCACAAGCCGTTAGTACACAAAGTGAAATTTTACAATCGAAAGAATTGAAAAAACATTTAGAAGTATTGAAGGTACATCTAGAGGATGCCATTAAAAAGTTGGATCATAATATTAAAGCAAGACAGGCAGAATTTCAAGCCGAAATACAAACACCCGATAGTGGTGAGTGAAACGATTTAGGAATTAGTGTTTAAATGAAAGGATAATGAAAATAAAATGGTGAAGTGTTTAAAATGTTTAAAATCCAAACTCTTCGAGATTTTTTTATAAACAAATCTGTTTTACGAAAAAATAAAAAAAAAAATTTCTAAAAAACCTCTCTACGAAAGCGTTTTCTATAAAGAAAACTGTTCTATGAAAATGTTTTCCATGGAAATCTGTTCTACGAAGAAGTTTTATATAGAAAACTGTTTTCTATAAATTTAATATATAAAACTGTTCTACAAAGAAGTTTTCTATAGAAAACTCATGTACGAAGAAATTTACTATAGAAAACAGTTCTCCGAAGAAGTTTTCGATAGAAAACTGTTGTACAAAACTGTTCATATAGAAAACTGTTCAACGAAGAAGTTTTCCATTGAAAATTGTACTACGAAGTCTTATATAGAGAACTGTTCCACAAAGAAGTTCTATATAGAAAACTGTTCCATAATGAAGTTTTAGAAAACTGTTCAACGAAAAAGTTTTTTTATAGAAAACTGTTCTACGAAAAAGTTTTTTATAGAAAGCTGTTCTACGAAGAAGTTTTTTATAGAAAACTGTTCTACGAAGAAGTTTTCTATAGAAAAGTCATCTACGAAGAAGTTTTCTATAGAAAACTCATCTACGAAGAAGTTTTCTATAGAAAACTGTTCTACAAAGAATATATCTATAGAAAACTGTTCTACAAAGAATATATCTATAGAAAACTGTTCTATCAATAAGTTTCCTATAGAAAACTGTTCTGCCAATTAGTTCTATATAGAACACTGTTCTACGAAGAAGTTTTCTATGAAAAACTGTTTTTTGTAGAAGTTTTCTATAGAAAACGGTGTTTTGAAGCAGTTTTTGTTCTACGAAGAAGTTTCTATAGAAAACTGTTTTACGAAGATGATTTCTATAGAAAATTGTTCTATGAAGAAGTTTTCTATAGAAAACTGTTCAACGGAGAAGTTTTCCATAGAAAACTGTTCTTCTTCTACGAAGATGAAACCAGTTCTGCAAAGAATTCTTTTATAGAAAACAGATTTATGAAGAATTTATTTATAGTAAACTGTTATACGAAGGAGTTTTTCATAAAAATCTGTAGAAAACTGTTATGCGAAAAAGTTTTTCATAGTAAACTGTTATACGAAGGATTTTTTAAAAAAACTGTTATACGAAGGAAGTTTTACATATAAAACTTCGTTAGAAAACAGTTTTAAGAAGAAATGTCTATATAAAACTGTTATACAAAAAAGTTTTCTAAAGAAATCTATTCAAAATTTCTGAAAAATTTTGTAATAAGTTTTTTTTTAGAAGACTGTAAATGTAGAAGAAGGTTTCTGTAGCAAATTTTTCGACAAAATTAGATAAAATTAGAGAAATGTTTATATAAAACTGTTATACGAAAATTTTTTCTATATAAAACTGTTTTCTAAAGAAATCTATTCTAAATTTCTGAAAAATTTTGTGATAAGTTTTCTTTAGAAGACTGTTCTAAGTATAGAAGAAGGTTTCTGTAGCAAATTTTTCGACATTTTCTATACAAAACTGTTATACAAAAAAGTTTTCCAAAGAAATCTGTTCTAAATTTGTGAAAATTTTTTTGATAAGTTTTCTTTAGAAGACAGTTCTAACTATAGAAGAAGGTTTCTGTAGCAAATTTTTCGACAAAATTAAGAATTTTTTGAAAATTTTATGACAAAAAAATTGGAGCCAAAGTTTTTTATTAAAAAAAATTCCAGGATATTAATTGCAATTTGGAACACGTTTGCTGTATTTATACTGATGTGTGTTTTATTCAAAATTTTTAAGTAAATTTGTTTAAAAAAAACTGATTTATTAATAAATATCTGTTTGTTTTGCATTTCAGAATACATTGAAGCAGCTTTGGGAATGCAACGTAATGATTTCAGAAGTGCCGCTGCAATACCACAAATCCCGTTACCATCTCAAACGATGCGAATTAATCAAAATAGTGGTCTTAGACGTTAAATATTATAAAGAAGAGTGTGGGGTCAAACGTGTTTTTTTAATGATGACCTGCATTTAGTTTTAGCATTATATGTGTTTGTAAAGTTGTATAGCTAAGTATTATATAAGAAATATTATTTATTTAAAACAAGTTAAAAAAAACTATTACGAAATATTTTGCAAAATAAAATTAAGCTTATTAAATTAATTTAAAAAAAAATTATAATTTTGTTGCAAAACATTATAGACAAACAGACAGACAGACAGACAAGTAGAGAGTATGAGATACAGACAGACAAAAAGCTAAAAACACACAAAATATTTAGCCAAAAACAACTTGCGGCCATTTAAGGAAGTAGTTTTTGTATGATAGTAAACTAGTAAGTTAGTAGTGACTCAAGGAGGTGACAACAAATATAAAACGAATGACTAATGCTCTCCCATGTTGAATGGTTTAACATTTTCCTTTTTTAGTTAAATTTTCAATATTCTCTATTATTTTGCTTTCATAACAGTGTCTAGGGACAAATATCAGGGAATTATCTTTAATCTCTTTAAAACTGTATTTGGAATACAAGGATTACATGGACAGACATAACTTAACCAACTTAGAAACTGATTCTGATTCAATTGGTATACTTTAAGTTGGGCATAGAATTTATAAATCCATATAGAAACCTACTTTAACGGTGGAAAAACTAACACAAAAACCCTGGTATAGAACGAATAAGTACAGAACCTAGACTACATAATATGTATAACAAAGGATAGGTTAGGTTGTTAGGATGATGTACACTACATACAATTAGAAAAATACACTTAGATCACTATCGGCTCTTTTTTAAGAGCGTATAACAAAGTTAAGAGTTTCACTGTCCTCTCTACATACTCTACATTCGTCTGAATCCGTACATCCAGTTTTATATAGTAGTGTTCTTAATCCTGTATGTCCACTAGCCTTAGACTTTACATTCGTCTTTTCGTCCTACTTAGGGTGAACCCATAGGATCTACCCTTATTCCAAGTGATTTTATGGAATTCTCTTGCCCATATTTCTAATTCAGTCCTCGTTGTGTCAAACTGTTTTGTGTTCATCAGGTTAACTACCCTGAGTGGCCAGGTACCTATATGTTGAAAAACATACCTCTGAGAGAATATTCGGTTAAGGCTTTCTTACATGTCAATAAGGTCTTAGATTTATACTTATCACCAGGTATTGTCCTAATTGCTTTTTGGCTGTATGTTAAAAAGTATGTTAACCCATGTTTATGCATTCCGTTATCCTTCGGAAGCTAGAGTTGCGATTAGGTAGACTGTAGTAGGTATCATTCTGTTTCCGGATCTCCAATATAGGACCCCATGAGTTTAGAGCCAACCATGTAACAGCGCGTATTTGCTGTAATGTTCATCTTGACAATGACATTATCTCTGGAATTAGTGTTTCAATGTTCAAGCATAATATGAAATTTGTAAGTTAAAGTTGTATATCTTGGTGTAATTTTGGATTCTAAACTCCAATTCAATTGTAATGCTGAGAATCGAATGAGTAGAGTGCATTTTATATTATTTACTTTTGTACCTTCGGAAGGAATGGTTCAATAGGGTCATTACTTTTTCTGACCTAAAGTTTATTTGGTGAAAAGTGGTGAGAATCAAATGACATTTGTTTATTGATTTGCATTTCCTGCTAGTACTGGATCCTTGAGCCTAACACCTGATCTGAAATTGATACCTTTATATCAAAAGCGTTTTTGATAAACCAAATCTTCCACTTTTAGAGTCGGACGCATTGATATATTAACGAATTGGTCTTGGATCTTTGAGGGCAACAACACCTGATCTGAACTTGACAACTTTATAAATATATCAAAACCGTTTTTGATAAACCAAATCTTCCAATTTTATAGTCGGGCACATCGAGATATTAATAAATTGGTCTTGACATAATTCTCCGATTGATAGGTTGTCCGATTTTGGTAGCAGCAGATGGATTACATTAAGCATTGACTATTGAATAAGAATACCAATAATAGAAGAAAACAAGGCTGCAAATACTGTTTTTGGAACTATGCGAAATCGGTCAACACTGGCGCTTCAAATACTGTTACTGGCTTAGGAATCTTCTCCGATGAGCTTTATCTCTTAATCGGTATCAGATTGGCTAATGATGCACCGTTTTTCTGACCGAAATTTATGCCATTGTTATACCCTTTAGATAAACTGAGAATAAATTGTTCAACGGATGTGCAAGCATTGTTAGACGAAAAAAGGTATAGTCATAATCCCCCGGCTGTGGTATTAAACATGAACGATGGATGGGAGACATATAAAAGAAATCGGTTATGCCGGTCTAAACTTTTCTAAATAGCTTTCTCAATTTGACGTCATATATTTAGCATGTTATACCAGTTTGTATGTAATAAATTACCCGATAACCAGACATTGAGAAAACTGGGTTTAATAAATTAAATTCGGTAATTTTATTCAGTACACTCAATGTTATTACAAGTCTAGAGTTTAAAACAAAAAAAAAAATTAAATAACAATTGTTTTGTGTTCGCACAAAAGATTTAACTAAAATTCTGTTAAAAAAATACAATTAAAAGTGTAATTACCTTTTCGTATGCGATTAGCAGTAAGTAGCACAAGTTTTAACTGAACATTATTAAACTTCAAAATAAATGCTTGAAAATGCGCCATTAATAGTCATTTACAATTTGTCATTTTTGGTGTAAAGATGAGTTGCGGCAATATGTTAACTGGGCCAGTAGTACAAGAGCAATGTTCTATAGCGAGTGTGGGTGTAATGAGTTCCTTGGTTGCACTATTGGTACAGAGTTTATATAAAGCTCAGTGTAATATTTCAAGTACCGATTACTTTCCTGAAGATTATGCAGAAACGGCATTGAAGGAGGGTTTGGAGTCGTATGATTTTGTGGTGGTGGGTGCCGGTTCGGCGGGCTCAGTAGTGGCTAGTCGTTTAAGTGAAAATCCCAACTGGAATGTATTGGTTTTAGAAGCGGGGGGAGATCCTCCTCAGGAATCAGAGGTTGGTATTAACTTATATAATTTAAAATAGATTTAATCGTTATATATTTCTAGATACCCAGTTTCTTTTTCACCTTGCAAAATACCAATTATACCTATAGTTATTTAACAGAACCCAATGATAGATCTTGCAAGGCCTTTAACGATAACAAATGCCATTGGCCTCGTGGTAAATTTATAGGAGGAACTGGTGGCATAAATGGCATGCTTTATGTAAGAGGTAATCGTTTTGATTATGATCGTTGGCAGCAAGAGGGTAATACCGGTTGGGGTTATGATGATGTTTTGCCTTACTTTGAAAAATCTATTAGACCAGTAGGTAATCAATCACATCCCCAGGGTTATGTTACTCTCAATGAATTCCCGCGATTTGAGGAAGATATATTCTCCATGATTTTTGAAGGCTCTCGAGAGTTGGGCATACCTAGAGTTAAGGAATTTGCTGAAGGTAGTTATATAGGTTATAGTCATGTTAAAGGTACCATACAAAATGGTCTTAGAGCTACCACTGGCAAAGGTTATTTGGGTAAAGTTTCTCAAAGACCCAATTTAAAAGTGATTAAAAATGCTCAAGTAACAAAATTACAGTTTGATAGTAAAGGTCAAACTGTCAAATCGGTGGAATTTGTACTACAACAACAGTATAAACTTAAAGTGCCGGTAAAACGTGAGGTGGTGTTATCTGCCGGTACTATAGATTCACCCAAACTATTAATGCTCTCGGGAGTGGGTCCAACAAACAAACTCAAACCTTTAAATATACCAGTTATACAAAATCTACCGGTGGGAGAAAATCTACAAGATCATGTTATTATATTGATATTTCTACGTCTACCAGCTAATGCGACCGATCAGAAACAATTACTCGATGGTATTTATCAATATTTAATACACAAAAAAGGACCTCTGAGTGCTCATGGCACTGCTTCTCTTACGGGTTTTATAAATACCGATTTATTTAGTGAATCCGTATATCCCGATATGGAATTTCATCATATTATGATAAGACGTGGTGATATCATAGGCTTGGATACCCTTCTAAATGGTTTTAGGGTAAAGGAGCAGCTAAGACCTTTCTTTAGGGAAAATGTACAAAATTTTGATGTTCTAACCATGTTTGCAGTATTGGCCCATCCTAAGTCCTTGGGAAATATAACACTTAAATCCTCTTCCCCCCTAGAGCCACCCATAATTAATGCCAACTATTTATCAGCACCAGAAGATGCAGAAGTTTTACTTAAAGGCATGGAATATATAATGAGTTTAGAACAGACCCAGGCCTTCCGGCAAAAACAAGCGGAAATTCTTCATATACCCCTTAAGGAATGTGATCAATATGAATTCAAATCACAACAGTATTGGAGATGTTATTTTACTTATTTCTCTAGTACTTGTTATCATCATGTTGGATCGGTTAAAATGGGTCCTGTGGATGATGCACGCACCTGTGTGGATCCTCGACTAAAGGTTAAAGGTGTCAAGAATTTAAGAGTTATAGATGCTTCCATAATGCCTCATGTAACCAGTGGCAATACAAATGCCCCCACCATTATGATTGCTGAAAAGGCTTCAGATCTTATTAAAGAGGATTGGTCTTCTTCTTAATGTTAGAAAAGAACAAGAAGAATTGTTGTGTGACTGCTGAGAGGAAAAGTAATGCAAGCTATAAGGTGTAGGCAATTGAAGTTCCATTAGACCTAGTGATTATTATATATTAAGTAAACTTTTTACTATATATTTTATGGGAATTTTACAAAATTTAAATTTGTATAAAAAAAGAACAGCGAAATATTTGTTTTATATATTTTTGTAACTTTACCTCATACTTAATCTTCCATCCCTGATTCTGCCCTTAACTTTGGCAATACAATTAGCTACAAAATGAGTAGAAATGTTTTAAAACTTTTAAGCTTAACTTTTTTAGTGAAGTTTAATTGAGAAAGTGTAAATAAATTTTAAAATTTCCTCGCTTTGATGATGACTTATATGCCACCATAATGGAAGGCATTACAGAGTTGGGCATACCCAGAGTTAAGGTATTTCGTGAAGATAGTTATATAGGTTATGGCCGACTAAAGGGTACTATAGCAAATGGTCGTCGCAGCAGTACGGGTAAAAGTTATTTGGGTAAAGTTTCAAAGAGAAAAAAATTAAAAGTGATTAAAAATGCTCTAGTAACAAAACTAATATTCGACAAACGTGGTCAAACAGTTAATTCCTTGGAATTTAGAATAAAACAACAACAACAACACAAACTTAAAGTGCAGATAAAACGTGAAGTTATTCTATCAGCGGGCACTATAGACTCAGCTAAACTATTAATGCTTTCCGGAGTGGGTCCAGTAGAGAAACTTAAAGGTTAAAGGTATCAAGAATTTACGTGTAGTGGATGCCTCCATAATGCCTCATATAACTAGTGGTAATACAAATATTCCCAGAGTAATGATTGCTGAAAAAGCATCAGATCATATCAAAGAAGATTGGACTTCTCCAAACAAAAGGAAGAGATCGCGAATGATCGCTGTGGGTACAAGTTTTTTAACGTAATGGTAATAAGATGTTGAAGTTTGTATATAAAATGTTTTAAATATATATTTATTAAATGGAATTTGTAATCATATTAGACTAGACTAGACTAGACTATAGACTAGACTATAGACTAGACTATAGACTAGACTATAGACTAGACTATAGACTAGACTATAGACTAGACTATAGACTAGACTAGACTATAGACTAGACTATAGACTAGACTATAGACTAGACTATAGACTAGACTAGACTAGACTATAGACTAGACTATAGACTAGACTATAGACTAGACTATAGACTAGACTATAGACTAGACTATAGACTAGACTATAGACTAGACTATAGACTAGACTATAGGCTAGACTATAGACTAGACTAGACTAGACTATAGACTAGACTATAGACTACTATAGACTAGACAAGACTATATGCTAGACTATAGACTAGACTATATGCTAGACTATATACTAAAGTATAGACTAGACTACCGACTATAAACTAGACTACTACTAGAGTATAGATTAGTCTATAGACTAGACTATAGACCACACTATAGATTAGGCTATTGACTAGATCATAGGAAAGACTAGATACTAGACTAGATTGTAGAATAGACTACATACTAGACTATAGACTAGATTACATAATAGACTACACAGTAGACTATATACTAGATTATAGACTAGAATGTATACTAGACTATAGACTAGACTATATACCAGACTATAGACTAGACTATAGACTAGACTATATACTAGACTATATACTAAAGTATAGACTAGACTATCAACTAGACTACACTATAGGCTATTGACTAGACTATAGAAAAGACTAGATACTAGACTAGACAATAGAATAGACTACATACTAGTCTACAGACTAGATTACATACTAGGCTACACAGTAGACTGTATACTGGATTATAGACTAGACTATATACTAGACTATAGACTAGACTATATACTAGACTATAGATTATATTATAGACTAGACTATAGACTAAAGTATAGACTAGAGTAGACCACAGACTAGACTATAAACTAGACTACTACTAGACTAAGATTAGTCTATTGACCATACTATAGATAAGGCTATTGACTAGACTATAGACTAGATTAGATACTAGACTAGACTGTAGAAAAGACTACATACTATACTATAGACTAGATTACATACTAGATTACACAGTAGACTTGACTATAGATTACATTATATACTAGACTATATTCTAGACTATAGACCAGACTAAAGACTTGATTATTGACTACTCTATAAAATAGATTTTAGACAAGACTATTGACTTGACTATAAATTAGACTATAAACCAGGTTATAGACTACGCTGCAGACTACACTATACTATGGACAAGACTAGACTATACTATGGACTAAACTATAGACAAGTCTATATGCAATACTATAGACAAGACTATATACTACACTATAGACTAGACTCTAAACTAGAATATAACCTATATTATAGACTATACTATAGACTGTACGCTACACTATAGACTACTATATGTACTACTTATAACCGATAATGTCGTGGGGGTACTCCGGTACTGAATGCTGTTCGAAAATATTTTTTCAATAATTGTTTTATTCGAAAATATATTTAAAGAAATATTTCTCCAGCAGGATTTTACATCCTGTGAGCACTGTCACCTTTGACCTTGATCTTTTTTATAAGATCCTTTTAGGATCAAGGGTGTCAAGAATTTACTTGTTGTTTATGCTTCGATAATGTTTCACAAATGCTACAACTAAGTATTATGATTGCAGAAACTGCATCTGATCTTATCAAAGAACAATAGACGTCTAAATACAAAAAAGTGATCGTGACTGATCGTTGTTGCTATAAGTACATACTTAATTTAATTAATAATATAACGAAAATGTTTATTAAACGCTGAATGTCATAAATACATACATATTTAATTAATGAAATTTTTAATAATATTCTCAGAAATTTATGGCAGTAAATATTTTGGAACTGATATAATGCTCTTTGAATATAATGTTCTCTAACATAGTATAATAATTATCATTTTAATTACGTTTATATTTAAAGAAATTCTTTATTTTTGAGCATATTTTTAAGAAAGATGCTCGAATTCTAGTTTAAAGAAAAACAAAAGATTTTTATAAAAATTTCTTTTTCAAACAAGGTTGCGTTTAAAATTCATTTGCAGTTTGAATTATCTTCAGTTAAGATGTGCTATATGGATGCTGGTGCTGTTGCCAGTGGAGTATTTGCACCACAATGTCCTATAGCAAGTGTTGGAGTAATTAATTCATTGGTAACCCTATTAATTCAGTCTATATATGCGGCTCAGTGTAATATTTCCAATACCGACTATTGGCCAAAAGATTATGCGGAAACAGCTTTAAAAACTGGTCTAGAGGCTTTTGATTTTGTGGTAATAGGAGCTGGTTCGGCTGGCTCTGTAGTAGCCAGTCGTTTAAGTGAGAATCCTAAATGGAATATTTTGGTTTTGGAAGCTGGTGATGATCCTCCACTGGAATCAGAGGTATGAAGTCTATAATGAACTATACAGTATAATTCTTCATTTCTTTCTTACAGATACCTAATTTCTTTTTCGGTCTACATAATACCAATTACACCTACAGTTACTATACGGAACCTAGTGATTCTTCTTGCAAGGCCTTTAACGATAATAAATGCCATTGGCCAAGAGGTAAACTTATAGGAGGTACTGGTGGTATAAATGGCATGGTTTTTGTACGAGGTAATCGTTTTGATTATGATCGCTGGCTAGAGGAAGGCAATACCGGTTGGGGTTTTGATAATGTTTGGCCTTATTTTATGAAAGCTATAACACCAGCAGGAAATCAATCTCATCCCCAGGGTTATGTTCCCTACAATGAATTTCCTCAATTTGATGAGGATATATTTTCCATGATTTTTAAAGCCTCCGGTGAACTGGGCATACCCAGAGTGAAGGAATTTGGTGAAGATAGTTATATAGGTTATAGCCATCTTAAGGGTACCATAGAAAATGGTCTACGTGTTAGTACTGGTAAGGGCCACTTGGGTAGAGTTGCGCAAAGAACAAATTTGAAAGTAATTAAAAATGCTCAAGTGACCAAATTAGTTTTTGACAATAATGGTACAACAGTTAAATCGGTGGAATTTACTATAAAACAACAAAAAGAACTAAAAGTAGAGGTAAAACGTGAAGTTATTCTGTCAGCGGGTACTATAGATTCCGCAAAATTGCTAATGCTTTCGGGAGTGGGTCCAGAAGAGAAATTAAAACCTTTAAATATATCAGTTATTAACAATCTACCTATAGGAGACAATTTGCAAGATCATGTAGTAATACAATTATTCCTACGCTTAAACGCTAATCCACCCGATCAGAAACAATTGCTCGATAACATTTATCAGTACTTAATACACCAAAAAGGTCCATTTACTTCTCAAGGCACTACTTCTCTAGCTGGTTTTATTAATACAGATTTATCATCTAACTCTAGCTATCCTGATATGTTATTTCATCATTTTATTACCAGGCGGGGAGATGTTAATGGTTTCGATTTACTCTTAAATGGTTTTAAAGTGAAAACAGAATTCAGACCCTTCTTTAGGGAGTCAATTGAAAACTATGATTTGTTAACTATATTTGCCATATTATCTCATCCAAAATCATTGGGAGATTTAACACTTAAATCTTCTACTCCTCAAGATCCACCCATAATTAAGGCAAATTATTTAACGGCGCCAGCAGATGTGGAAGTATTACTGAGAGGTATGGATTATATAATGAAGATGGAGCAGACCGAAGCCTTCCAAGACAAACAGGCTGAGATTTTACAAATACCTATAGACGAGTGTGATCAATTTCAATTTAAATCCCCAGAGTATTGGAGTTGTTATTTTACTTATTTCTCTAATACTTGTTATCATCCCGTGGGTACGGTTAAAATGGGTCCGCTGTATGATGAAAGTAGTTGTGTGGATCCTAGACTTAAGATTAAGGGCATACACAATTTACGTGTTGTGGATGCCTCCATAATGCCTCGTATTCCTAGTTGTCAACCAAATGCTCCCACCATTATGATTGCAGAAAAAGCTTCAGATATTATCAAGGAAGATTGGTCGAGTTATGATTCTTAATTGTTAAGATTTATTCAAATTAAGTTGTAAAAATATCTTTTGATTGGGAATCTAATAAAAACTCCATTTAAAAATTAAGTATAAAAGTCACTTACGTTAGAATTAAAAGTTTTTGAAATTTAATAGCGTGTGAATCACAGATTTGTTAATACTGATTTGAACTAACTTCCAAAACTATATAATGATTTTTACTTTTTCATGTTTCTTAAAATTTATTCACAATTTTGTTGCTTTCATTTTAACGAATGTAAATTGTTATTTTATAAAATCAATATACATATGTATCTAATTAAATCTATGATGAAAAGAAATTGAATGACAAGCAGTTTGATCACACAAAAGATTTAACTGAAGTGTTAAATTATATATATTCTTTATATACAAACAATTACTTTGAACCAAAATGAATGTCCGAATATATAATATATTAATATATAGATGATATTAAATCTCGTCCGAAGACACTGTAATTCGAGTTGAGATCTATAGTGAAATTCATGTCCCCATTATACTAGAGAAGATCAAATTTTTTAAAGTTAGTCTCTACCTAATTTTATAAGGACCAGTTTGTTACCGACTATAGACTAGACTACAGACTAGACTAGACTATAGACTAGACTATAGACTAGACTATAGACTAGACTATAGGTTAGACTATAGAACTACTATAGACTAGACTATAGACTAGACTATAGACTAGACTATAGATTAGACCATAGACTAGACTATAGACTAGACTATAGACTAGACTATAGACTAGACTATAGACTAGACTATAGACTAGACTATAGATTAACCATAGACTAGACTATAGACTAACTAGACAGACTATAGACTAGACTATAGACTAGACTATAGACTAGACCTATAGACTAGACTATAGACTAGACTATAGACTAGACTATAGACTAGACCGATAGACTAGACTTATAGACTAGACTATAGACTAACTATAGATTAGACTATAGACTAGACTATAGACTAGACTATAGACTAGACTATAGACTAGACTATAGACTAGACTATAGACTAGGACTATAGACTAGACTATAGACTAGAAACGATGACTAGGTATAGACTAGACTATAGACTAGACTATAGACTGACTATAGACTAGGACTATAGCTAGACTATAGATAGACTATAGACTAGACTATAGACCTAGACTATAGACTAGACTATAGACTAGACTATAGACCTAGACTATAGACTAGACTATAGACTATAGACTAGACTATGACTAGACTATAGACTAGACTATAGACTAGACTATAGACTAGACTATAGACTAGACTATAGACTAGACTATAGACTAGAACTATAGACTAGACTATAGACTAGACTATAGACTAGACTATAGACTAGACTATAGACTAGACTATAGACTAGACTATAGACTAGACTATAGACTAGACTATAGACAGACTATAGACTAGACATAGACTATAGACTAGACTATAGACTAGACTATAGACTAGACTATAGACTAGACTATAGACTAGACTATAGACTAGACTATAGACTAGACTATAGACTAGACTATAGACTAGACTATAGACTAGACTATAGACTAGACTATAGACTAGACTATAGACTAGACTATAGACTAGACTATAGACTAGACTATAGACTAGACTATAGACTAGACTATAGACTAGCTATAGACTAGACTATAGACTAGACTATAGACTAGACTATAGACTAGATAGACTAGACTATAGACTAGCTATAGACTAGACTATAGACTAGACTATAGACTAGACTATAGACTAGACTATAGACTAGACTATAGACGAGACTATAGACTAGACTATAGACTAGACTATAGACTAGACTATAGACTAGACTATAGACTAGACTATAGACGAGACTATAGACTAGACTATAGACTAGACTATAGACTAGACTATAGACTAGACTATAGACTAGACTATAGACTAGACTATAGACTAGACTATAGACTAGACTATAGACTAGACTATAGACTAGACTATAGACTAGACTATAGACTAGACTATAGACTAGACTATAGACTAGACTATAGACTAGACTAGACTAGACTAGACTATAGACTAGACTATAGACTAGACTATAGACTAGACTATAGACTAGACTATAGACTAGACTATAGACTAGACTATAGACTAGACTATAGACTAGACTATAGACTAGACTATAGACTAGACTATAGACTAGACTATAGATAGACTAGACTACTAGACTAGACTATAGACTAGACTATAGACTAGACTATAGACTAGACTATAGACTAGACTATAGACTAGACTATAGACTAGACTATAGACTAGACTATAGACTAGACTATAGACTAGACTATAGACTAGACTATAGACTAGACTATAGACTAGACTATAGACTAGACTATAGACTAGACTATAGACTAGACTATAGACTAGACTATAGACTAGACTATAGACTAGACTATAGACTAGACTATAGACTAGACTATAGACTAGACTATAGACTAGACTATAGACTAGACTATAGACTAGACTATAGACTAGACTATAGACTAGACTATAGACTAGACTATAGACTAGACTATAGACTAGACTATAGACTAGACTATAGACTAGACTATAGACTAGACTATAGACTAGACTATAGACTAGACTATAGACTAGACTATAGACTAGACTATAGACTAGACTATAGACTAGACTATAGACTAGACTATAGACTAGACTATAGACTAGACTATAGACTAGACTATAGACTAGACTATAGACTAGACTATAGACTAGACTATAGACTAGACTATAGACTAGACTATAGACTAGACTATAGACTAGACTATAGACTAGACTATAGACTAGACTATAGACTAGACTATAGACTAGACTATAGACTAGACTATAGACTAGACTATAGACTAGGGCCATAGCTCTGGCTACTATCGGGGTCAGCGGGTGGCGGATAGCTGAACGACCTGCAGATATGCAGGTCAGCTGCGATAAATAAGCAGTCCCCGACCATGAGCGGTAGAGTTCGAAGGCGTGCTTTAAAAAAGTTACAAGAGCCTGAGGACGACTCTGCGACATGGCGAATAGATGCCGCCATTAAGTAAGCATCCCCCACAAGAGGTACACTATAGAGAGGTGTAGTTTGAAGAGTGACGCCTTCGTGGTTCCTCCAGTCCTTTTAAAACCCAGAAGCGTCTGTCTCATAGTGAGCGGTTCCCTGGTCAGCGTCTGTTTCCCATGTAAGGGGCGGCTGAAATGAAAATTCCTGGCGGCTAGGTCAAAAACGCTACGGGTAGGATCCCGGAAAATAAAACCAATATGGAAAAGTCGGAAAATAATAATTTACTTACGGTGCAGGAAGTAATGACTCCAGTACCGGCGGCTGAGTGTAGTGAGCAAGCAGGCTACCCGTCGTCGTCATCCAGCGTCTGCAATGTTACCCCTGTTACGAGCTTGGCAGGGACAACAGATAAAGTTACAAGCAAAAAAGAGAATACGGAGAATAGTGCTCCACAAAGAAAAACAGTGGATAAAAATGCGCCCCTAACCCAAATAGAACCGAGGAAATACATCGATGGAAGGCCCGATTCCTTCACAGAATTAGGAGATCTTATCATTGACCTGTTGGACTTTTTTAAGGACAAAAACAATATCCATCTCGCCATAAAGTGGCAAGTTAGGAAAATGCGCTCTGTGTATAATAAAGCGAAAAACGAGATGAACCGCGACACTCTCCAATCAAGCAGAGTTATTGCCGATAAACTTACTCAAACTTCCCCTCTAGTATGGCCGAAAAAGAGAGAGGAGAAGCGTAAAAAGGATAAAAACGAAACGCCGGCTAAAATGCCAAAACCGAAGAGAGCAAAGGGTAACCCAATAATACAAAGTGTAACATGCCCTGACCACGAAAGCACAGAGGAATCTTCAAAAGATAAATCTGATAGTGGAGAAGAATCTACTACAACGGAAAAATGGTCGAAAGTAAAAAGTAAAAGAAATAAAAAGACGAATCGCGTTCGTAAGCCCCAACCCGATAAAATGATAATATCATCCAAAGGTGAAGCATCATACGCCGATATCCTTCGTAAAATTAGAACGGATCCCGAACTGAAGGAGCTAGGTGAAGAGGTCAGCAAGATCCGGAGAACACAAAAAGGCGACCTCCTGCTAGTATTAAAGTCAACCGGCAAGAATATGACTGAAAGATTCAATGATAAGATTATATCATCATTGGATGGAAACGTGGACGTAAAGACCCACAAAGAAGAAATTGTTATACAATGCAAAGATATGGACGATATAACTACAAAACTAGAGATATCCCAAGCCATTAGCAGAGAATTGCAAATGCCTGAGCTAGACGAAACAATTGTTAAGTCTATATGGAAGACCTACGGAGGTACACAATCTGCCAGAATAATCCTCCCAACAGAAGCTGCAAGAAGAGTCCTCGCACTCCGTAAAATCAAAATAGGGTGGTCTATCTGTCGCTTAAGGGAAATGGTAACATTGACTAAATGCTTCAGATGTCTGGAATTCGGCCACATATCGAAGTTTTGTAAAGCTGATGCCGATAGATCTCACCAATGTCTGAAATGTGGACTTGAAGGCCATATCGCTAAAGAATGTAAAGGAGAATTAAATTGTATGTTATGCAAAGCGATCGGGGGAAAGGATCTAAAACATGTGGCAGGGAGCTACAGATGCCCAGTTTTCCAGAAGGCACTAGGTAACAGAACTAAATGAACTTCATTCAGCTTAATGTAAACCACTGCGCCATAGCCCAAGATCTCCTAACACAGAGCATCCATGAGCTAAAAATAGACGTCGCAATCATTAGCGAACAATATAAGAACCTAGACAGGAATGTATGGGAACGAGACGCCACAAGTAGAGCAGCAGTTTGGGCCTGCGGAAACAGGTGCATAGAAGAAACCATGAGGCAGCCGGAGGCTGGATTCGCAAGAACTAAAATCGGCGGAATATATATATATAGTTGCTATATGTCCCCAAACATACCACACTCCGACTTCGAGGGACTTATCGACAACCTTGTGAGAGATGCTGCTCATCATAACCCAATAGTTATCGGAGGAGACTTCAACGCGTGGGCACA